ACATTTAAACAAATCTAGTGGTCATACTACGCCAAAATCACAGATTATGTATAAGATGCAATCAAAGTCATCACGAGTCTGTTTCCAAATAGTCAGAGTACTAATATACGGCCCAAATGGACAATGTGTCAAAACGTACGCCCTTCAAGACACAGCTAGCGAAATAACGATCATACGAGAGTAACTGGGTCAAGAATTAGGACTTAAAGGTAAACGCAAGTTGCTAACTATTCAGACTATCAATGGTGAAACATCACAACAATCATCTACGGTATCATTCTCGCTCAAATCAGCTGATGATGCGCTTGGTAGTCTAATTAAGGTAAATGAGGCCTGGATGGTTTCAACTGATATATTTAAATGCTCACCACAGATAATTAATCCGGAGTGGAAACATCTCACCGGACTTGGACTTTTGAATGTCATGCAAGAAGAGGTAAAACTACTAATAGGAGCCAATATCCCAGAAGCTCATCTTCAACTCGAATCTAGATCCGGGGACACTGATCAACCCATAGCCATTTGCACTACCTTGGGATGGTCTCTCATGGGGGTGGCCGGAAATAATCCTACAGATCCAACAGTGAACGTTAACCTCATAACTCGCAGTTGCAGTCTGGACGAGCAGATGACTCACTTCTGGAGAACAGAGTCCTTTGGTATTTCCCACAATGATAAAATTGCTTTATCGTCTGAAGATCGGAAGGAATCTCTTTTGATGGATCAGAATACACGTATAGTCAACGGTCATTATGAAGTTCCCATGCTATGGAAAAACCCTAAAACTAAACTTCCGAACAACTACCCAATGGCAGAAAGACGTTTTCAGTTATTAGCAAAGCGTCTAGCTCGTGATGATAACCTAAACAATTTGTACAGCAAGACCTTAAACAGTTATGTAGAAAATGGATACGCACAGAAGCTTACCAATGAAGATGTATCTATTACCTCTCCTCTCACTTGGTATATACCTCATCACGGTGTCATCAACCCAAATAAACCAGGCAAAGTACGCCCAGTCTTCGATGCATCTGCTACTTACAACGGGACATCACTTAATGATAACCTCATGTCCGGACCGGATCTCCTTAACAACCTCTTTGGAGTTCTACAAAGGTTCCGGTTATATAGTGTCGCCATCGTTGGTGACGTTGAGTCGATGTTCTATCAAGTTCCTGACAAAGATGCCCAATCTCTTCGGTTCCTGTGGAAGACTGATATATCAAAACTTGGTCCACCTGATGCTTACAAAATGAATGTGCATATATTCGGAGCAGCCGATTCACCAGCCTGTGCGAATTATGCTATGAGACGAACTGCTACTGATAATAAACATAAATTTAGTAAGCAAGCTATTGACACTACTCTTCAAGACTTCTATGTAGACGACCTACTAAAGTCAGTAGAAACGACCAAAGAAGCTATTCGCATCTACCAGGAAGTAACTGAGCTACTGAAACTTGGCGGATTCCACCTCCACAAGTGGATGTCTAGTTCGACCGATGTACTCGACTCCATTCCTGAATCGGAACGAGCAATCACTACCCTTAATCTTGATTTAGATGACATACCCTTACAACGAGCCCTTGGCCTAAAATGGGATGTGTCACAAGACATCTTCATCTTTAATCCACAACCAAAGGTTACACCCACTACCAAAAGAGGGATTGTTAGCATCGTTAGCTCAATCTTTGACCCATGTGGATATCTCTCCCCATTCACATTAAGAGCTAAAATCATCATACAAGATATTTGGAGATCTAATAATGACTGGGATGATCCACTTCCTCCAGATATTGATGACAAATGGAGTTCGTGGGTACGTGAACTGCAACATCTTTCATCATTCAAGTTAAACCGTCACCATCTTAATTTCTCTTCAGACGTCCGCTTGGTTGAAATGCACATATATGCAGATGCCTCAGAAAAGGCCTTCGGAAGTGTGGCATATTTACGATACTCAAATATGTCCGGAGACATAATCTGCTCATTCCTGGCATCTAAAACTAGAGTAGCACCAATCAAGCCTGCATTATCAATTCCAAGACTCGAACTTCAAGCGGCAGTTCTTGCAGTGCGACTTTGGTGTTTGCTGAAGGATGTATTGTTTTTACCACTTACAAAGGTCATATTCTGGACTGATTCCTCAACAGTACTTCAATACCTCAACAACCATACGAGGCGTTTCAAACCATTTATCTCAAATAGGATAGCAACTGAAAATTACCAATGGCGTTTTGTACCCTCAAAGGATAATCCTGCAGATTTCTGTTCTCGTGGGTTACCTGCATCGAAATTACGGTTGGACCATCCTTGGTTCAACGGACCAGATTATCTTCATCGTCGTGAAAAGTTTTGGCCAAGTCAACAAACACAACATGATGAAATCCCAGTTAATGATCCTGAGATCAAAGGATCTTCAGTCATGTTTACAACCACCAAAGAGAATAATCTTCCAAAGGACACCCTTCCTATAGTTCAAGTTGGAAATATATTAGAAGCTAAAAATTTCTCAACGTGGATAAAACTCACTCGAAGAACAGCATGGCTACTTCGAGCTATCCGGAATTTTCTTGTTCCCATCAAACGATTGAATCTTATTCCCATAAGAAACGACAATCTACTACCAAAGGAATATGAACACGCTTCACGATGCTGGATTCGACAAGCTCAAGAAGACGAATTTCCTAAAGAGATCGCATGTCTTGACGATCATCAAGAACTTCCACACAATAGTTCTTTACTACCATTAACACCTCTCTATGATGGAACTCATCTACGAGTTGGTGGTAGATTATCCAGATCGAAAGAACCACTCGAAACAAAGCATCAGCTAATTTTACCTCATGGACACAAGGTCACCAATCTACTGCTCCATGACGCTCATATCAAAACTGCCCATGGTGGAGTAGAACACATAATATCTCATACGAGACAGCAATATTGGCCTATATCTGCTCGACGTGCTACCAAAACTGTAATCAACAACTGTTTCTACTGCAAGCGTCGACGCAGCTCACCGATGGTACCAAGAATGGCTGATCTTCCCAGCTGCAGAATCGATTGTATGACTGGTCCATTCCATCATACTGGTATTGATTATTTTGGTCCGATGCTCGTTAAAGTTCGTCGCAGTAATGTCAAACGCTGGGGATGCATCTTTACATGTATGACCTACCGAGCAGTTCATCTTGAAGTTGCAGACTCCCTTGAAACAGATGATTTCATCTTAGTTCTACGTAATTTCATTGGTCGCCGTGGACACCCTAAACATATTTACAGTGACAATGGCACAAACTTTGTCGGGGCGAACAATGAACTGAAGTTAGCCTTAAACGAATTGAACAAACAACAAGTCACCAATTTTCTAGCACCAATAGGGATCGAATGGCATTTCAACCCTCCATTAAGTCCACATTTTGGAGGTGCCTGGGAAAGACTTGTACGCTCAACCAAAACAGCTCTCCAAGCAGTTATTGGTAACCTCAATGTTTCTGAGTCTGTACTTCGAACATCACTTATCGAAGTAGAAGCTGTGCTGAATAGCCGTCCTTTGACGCATAACAGTTCCGATTCTAATGACTTTACAGCTCTCACGCCAAATCATTTCTTGATCGGAAGAGCAGAAACAACCTTCTCACCAGCTGTTGTACACGACAAAGAAATCAACAGCAGAAAACGCTGGAAACAAGTACAGGTGCTTGCTAACCATGTATCAAAGCGTTTCCTTAAGGAATACCTACCAAATCTTACCTTACGCCATCGATGGACAAAGGAAAAACCAAACCTACATGTTAATGATTTGGTTCTTATGGTCGAAGACAACCAACCTCGTGGTAGTTGGCCACTTGGTCGTATCACCGCTGTTTACCCAGGAGAGGATGGTCGTATACGAACTGTGAAAGTCGGAACAGCCCACGGAATTTACATCCGTCCCGCTGCAAAGATCTGTTTGTTAGAAGAAAACATCTAAAGACTCGAATTCTCTGATACTTCAAAGAACATTTGAATATCAAATATTTCCTTAATCTTAATTAATCTTTATAGTCCTATTTCAGTTTAACTACTTGTTTGACTCTGTCAGGGGGGTGGCGATGTTCGTGTTTACTCTCTTTAAGGCCTTGTAGCTTATTGATTATCGCTGTGGTCTTGATCCACAAATTATCCACAGTTTATCTCCCTTTTAGTATTACAACTTCCGGTGCTTTTCTAGAAAACTTCCTCGTGTAAAAATCATAAACAAACTGAACTAAACAGTAACGGTGAACTTTCCTACATGAATTCACCGAGAAAAACAAATTAAACAAGGACAATTATGATGTGAAGGACACAGTATTTATTTATGCCAGTGACAATACCTGCATTATTATGTTCAGTGAATTTCATATCCATAATTACTTTTTTAGTGTATTTCTCTAAATGTGTAAACTGTGTTGTGTACTTACTAGTGTAGAACTAATTTGAACAAAATTAAACTATACGTCTTGAAATCTCGCTTTTCTCTCACGAATACCTGGTTAGTGAACCAACGCCATGCTCACTGACCCACCGCCGGTCGCGAAGAAAAATCTTTTAGATTAATAGAACAAAATTAAGTGATTGTAAGTGGACCTATCAAGAGCACCCCCCCCCCCCCCCCCCCAAAAAAAAAATAAACCCCCAAAATCAAAACACTATTCAATTTTAAAAATAAAATGTATTAACTAAAGGAATTTTTTTTATATCTGTCGACATTATTATTGTGATGACCATATCGTTTTTAAAAATGTAGCGCTGTCTTTTATGTCCAAAGTCACACCCACTTACAAGACATTCAGCATAAAATGAAAAAGCTCTAACTTCGCAATAGCTTGGAGCTTCATCTAAGGTCTTATTACTAACAAATGTCGCTTAGAAATTGACGTTTGAGATGCCCGTATAACTTAAAATTAGGTTTTAAGAAGATGTTAGAATACCAATTGATTTCAAACTAACATTTTAATACTCTCCTTTTTTGACAGACATTAAGAAAAACTCTGGATAATGCAGGCTTTAATAAAACTAAGATTATTGCTAGTGATCAAATGAATTGGGAAATTGCAGGCGATATGAACAAAGATGCTGACTTAAAAGATGCTATTTTTGGTCTTGGGTTAGTAGCCAAATATTGATTTCAAACTAACATTTTGTGCTTTTATTTTTTGACAGACACTAAGGAAAACGCTAGATAATGCTGGCTTTAATAAAACTAAAATTATTGCTAGTGATCAAAATGGATGGGATATTGCCGGCGATATGAACAAAGATGCTGAATTAAAAAATGCCATTTATGGTCTTGGGTTAGTAGCCAAATATTGAAAACGTCACTCCTGTGCCTACCGCTTAGTCTACGTAGTCAACATTTTAACTTCAAGCAGATAAAAAAATAAACAAACCAAAAAAAAACCAACCCCAAATCGTTTCATGCTATTTAAGAAAGATGATTTCATCATTTCCCGATTGCAGGTCGCATTATCCAGGAACAAATTCTACCCCAGAAGCTGCTTCTTTGAATAAACCATTGTGGGCATCTGAAGATTGGGGATGTCCTGATGAAATTACAGGTCCAGGTTGCCTGGCACGAGTGAGTTAATAGGACAATACGACAGAACTTGCTAGCAATGTGAACATTTTTCATCGGAACACAATCGTGAGCATTAAGAACCGGGAGTAGTATCAAATTTAATATTTTCATTTCAGATCTCACTACCCCGGTACGAACTCCACGCCAGAAGCTGTTGCCTTAAATAAATCGTTATGGGCATCCGAAGATTGGTCTTGCGTCGACCCTATCACTGGTCCCGGTTGTCTGGCACGGGTAAGAATATAAATCATTGCCGAAAGAATTATGTTCTGGTGTGTTTTAAAGGTCGAGAGCTTAGTACTACCGGATAGCGTCAGCCCAAGTGTTGTATCAAACGTAACGCCTTGCTGGTGGGGCAAGAAAATAAGTCCTAGCCAAAAGAATTATGTTCACATGGCTAGAAGTTTTCGTATGGTTTAAAGGTCGGGAATGGACATTAATATTACACAAAGTATTGCTCGGGACATTTTAGCAACTTAAAATACAGATACGCTATCCCGCACGTGCATTTCTATGAAATCATTGCGCAACTCCAATATTTGTATAAATGATGTACGACTGTACGTTGTATGACAAGGGAACATTGCACGTCCTATTTGAATATTTTATATCCGTGGAACATTGAATGTTTTATATCCGTGGAACATTGAACGTCTCATATTGTTTTTCAGACTTTGAATCAAAATTACGTTAATGGTTATATGTCAACGTAAGTTACTATTTTCTTATATCCTTTACAGTTTTACTGGAACCATTTCCAGAAATACATTTAAATTTAAACGATAATTTATTATAGATTACCATTTCTATTTTTCGGACAATGTTCTTGGTTATTTAACATTTAATTAATAAAAAACCAACAAATTATCAAAAGTAAGAAAATCCGATCCGATTAAAAAGAGGCCCATCAAAAGATGTTTCCCAACACTTATAGGTGACACCGGTTTCTTGGTTTCTTACGATGCCTAACGGTGCGAAATTTTCAATTCATCATCGCTATATAAATACTAAACGAAATTAAACCATTTTCAAATCATATTCCTATTACAGATTCAGCTAGCCAAATACTGTATTCCAAATTCATTTTATGACAAACAGCGGCTTTAAGTGTTTTCTGAAAAGGGTTAGAGACAGGTTCATCTCATATAAAATCCCGTTCAATCAAATTTATTTATATTGATTCACTTTCTAGTACAGTGATATGGAATTTAATATCAAGTTATTATTATGGATTACCATGGTATAATTCTGGTATTATGACGGCATCTGAACCCTGGTCTGGTCATTATGTAGTACCCGCCAACGTATGGGTGACAGGTAAGAAAAGTAGTAAAAGACAAACACCAACATCCTAGATAATTGAGACGTGTTAACGCCCCACTGTTAGGCGCGACCCTGAATTAATGAAGACAGGCATATGCCATGCAGTGTGCTAGGGTGTGGGCGGTGGGTGGGTGTTGCTGGGGCAGCGGCGTTTCTATCTACGCTTCATGGAATTTTAACTGTCGGGGGCTCTTTTACGTGCACACGAACGAGCACACGCTGGACTTTGTTTTTTTGTTTTGACTAAATGCTTATTCCTGGAAATAATGCACTTGTCACAGACTTTGTCAGACACTAATTTTTCTTGTGCCTGTCATTATGTTCGTCACATATTTGCCTTTTTTCTGTGTTTGTATTGATGTTATAAATTAATGTCCTACACTATGTTAAAAACCATACATACTAGTTCAGTATTGCCTGATCTCATTATTTCTCAATCTGATTAAAATTCGTTTCGTGTTTCTGTACTTTCGATGGCCTCCACAACACGAAGATCTGACCGGTTGTAGTGGAAGAATGACGTCAGACATGTGATTAAGCGATCAGCGTGTTCCGTACATCACACACCAAGTACTCGAAGTAACAGACCGTTTCATTGGCTAATCCCTGACACCAACCAGAACGACTGTTATATAACAACTCTTCCAGATCATAGTGTATTAAAGACAAGTAAAACGAAATTTTGAATTATAAAAAAACGAAACGAAATAGGATCTGTGCTTTTATCACTATCAGATTGATTATTGAAGCATTATGTTATTTTCGCAGCTCACACCACCCAGTTTACTGCTATCGGATGGAAATATTTAAGTCATGGAAATGGTGTTGGTAAATTAACCTCGGGAGGTAGCTATGTTGCATTAATGAGTCCCGATGAGCAAGATATCACAATTATTATAGAGACTTTGGTAAATGTTTAGATATATCGAACTATTTATTGTTTCAATGTCTCTTAGTAACTGGACTGGAAATACAGTGTTCACAATTCTATGGAATACAATTATACTGTTTTTTACTGTGCAACGTTTCAATTAGAAATCCCTATCTGTATCAAACAAATGATCCAATTATAAAAAAAACTTGTTGTTTACATAGTGTCTCATCAGTTTTTATTTAGCTGTGCATCATTTGTTTGGCAAATACGCTGGGTAATTAAGATCAATTGTATTCCATTCCATACAATTGTGTCCTCTAGAGAATAACTAGGTCATTGCAACCTCAAAAATGAACAAATAGAATAAATCTACCAGTTTCATTTTTCTTCCTACAAAACAAGTGTTTTGAAAACCGAGGATGACAATTTTTGTCCGAGGGGGAGGAAATGCTGCTAGTTGGCCTTGCTTAGAGCGCAGAATAGTCTGGCGCTGGCTCTGGTTACAGCCCACAATTTCCCCGTGCAGAAATATTGCTTGGACGCCTTTGCAAATAACAGAAATGGTGTGTTAGGAAAGAAAATTCCATAAATTGACCACGCATTTTATTTTATATTTGTCTTGTTATTTGGATATATATCTTCTTTTCCATTATTATAACCCTGGGTGTTAAACTTTCTTTTAAAAAAACCTGTTTTAGAGTACAAAATATTTTAAAATACCGATCCTATATTGTGCTTTTAATTTTCAGGAGCACGACTTCTCGATATGCACCCGTCCACCACTTGCTCCATTTGATGTGAATGACCAGTCAGCTTTGTTTGAACTAAAGGGTGTGCTGGTAATTGAACCTAATTAATATTAATCATTGTTTTTTCTTGGGGAAACGCCCTTAAGATAAAAGCACAAGGCTCCGCCAATTCCAGTGCGGTAGATATGAAACTTGGCATGCTTGTTCTTTGGGACACATCGATTGACGGACATGGATTTTTTTTATATGACTTCACAATTCCAAGATGGCTGGGATGACGTCATGGTCAATTCCTGGTTCATCATATTGTTAAAAACGATCGTTTATCGCTTATTAGCTAACATGCATTTTTGTATTTTTGTAACATTCATGAAGAAATATTGATTTTAATTTTCATTTCTATTTCAGCAAATTTTTCTTATTGGACGTCTGATAATATTTTGTAATTTTAGGGTCAAAAATTCAAGTCTTTGAACACGTGGTATAGTCGAATGGCAGCTAATGGAATGCCCCCTACTCTGTTCCAGCAGAGAAACCCAACCCAGGTATAAATCTAAGATATAAATAAACATATTATATACCGTGCGTTTACTTTTGATAATGCAGCAATTTGAAATTTAAAAAGTTACAAATATAACTCAAATGAAATGAATTAAAAAGTGTTTTAACGTTTAACATCCTACTTTTCTGCACCAACCGGGATATTGAAGACCTCTATAAGCCATGCATTGTGATATAAGAAAATGTTGCTCAGACATTAACGCTACGGCCTACTCTTTTTTCGAATTCCAATTGTCAATTGTACCATCCGAACGACTAGGCGCTGTTCTATGCCAGACTCCCGATCTACACCCCTGACAAGGGGAGACCAAGCCGGACTAACTCATCCAATAACAAATTGTAACCGGAAGTTGTAATCATCCCCTTTCAGGTAAACAATGGATCAGTTTATCTTTATCTGGGAAGAGATGAAGTGTGGACACTAACAACTCTTCAGACTGGTTTTAAGGGAAGCTACCCAAATATACCGTATTCCAGACCATTTCCTCTTCCATATATAGAAGATTTTGAAGGTTTGTCAAGACATGTTGAAATTTTTGAAATGTCAATTTAAATTTGGTTTAGATGATCTTACAAAATATGAATTTCCAGGAATTCTTTCAACGGAATTTCCCAAATAAGTAAAATCCATGGTTTAAATATGCGGACTTTAGCTCATATAGTGGTTCTCAGATTGCCAGAAAGTATAGAAAAGGCTATAAATCTCGTTAACACAGTGTTCATATCATTTGTGAGACTAACAAATCGTTATTTTACTATGACCACATGTGCAATGCGATGGAGGCGAATTTTGCCCTGGCAGGGGCGGTTTCGCCCATTCTTCATCGGATTGCATCTATCACGGTTAATTTACGTACACACCAACGTAAGTTTGAAAAAATAACGAAATTCTTCTCAGAGCACGCCGGGATTCGAACTCGGGGGGTTCTAGTTGATTTTCCAGTAGTCTCAATGCTCGACCAGCACGCCCCTCCTCCATCCCCAAATTGCTTGAAATACTTGACATATCTTTTATTTTAAGTTTGCCATATGTGGTGTGGACGTAAATCCATTGGGCATCCTCGCTGAAGGAATTCCCACCAGGCGTCGCTAATAAAAACACGGTTCTGCGTGACCCTATCGATGGTAAGAGAACCGTATTTCGACGTGTCAGGGTTAAGTTCCATATTAACGACAAAAACCAACAGTAGTCAACACACCAGTTCGTAATGAATGTACAGGAAAACAATGTTGTAAGGTGAACAAAGAGGTCATGTGGGACCGTCTCCGCCGTATGGTGTCATCAATAAATTATGCCCCTTTATCCCTAGCGAGGACGCCCGTTATAGTAGTTTTATTGTAAATATTTTTATTCACAATCTATTGATTCGTTTACAGATTATGAAGTTGGGGCGGAACCATTTAATTTAGCTCAACAAGTTGGATCGTTTGAAGTAGACGAAGTTAACAATATAAAGTTTATGAAACAAGTTGTTTTAGAGGAGCCCGTCCATTGGTTCTGGTGTAAAATAGATACGTACAATACGACGCTAAGTGTTATTGGAGATTATAACTGGTAAGAAACTATATAAGTATATCAGTACCGGCCTTAAGAGGTGTGTCAACCGTGCACTTAAACATAGCTAGCAACTTTTGGGCGAATATTTAACAGAACATATAGAGGGCTACGGTGGTTCAGTTGGCTCGCCAAACTGGAGGTCCCGTGTTCAATCCCTGCGTTGGCGGAATAAGTTTATCGGGATTTTCCGGCGTGGTTCCCCATTGTTGGTGCAAGTGAAAGGTCCCTTGGTAGTTGAAATTCGATATAAGCGTAGGTCCCTCAAAGCACACTGTATGGCGTATCTCCGTCTTCATTAGCACAGTCGGAGCAGAACAGTAGGACACTAACCCCTATTTCATATCTTTTTTAACAGAAAATTATTATCGACGGCCTAATCGAAGATTTTTATTTTTCCTTTTGGCCTTTCACTGCCCATTTTTCTGTTTTGGGTATAAATGTTACTGTCTTTATTTTTAAGGCAAGATATCCGTGCTGACGTTGCTGTAAAATTAGAAGGAGAAAACACAACTGATTCGGTTTTCCTTTCAGTAAGAACAACAGCTAGTGGTTGTCAAGCAGACACAGAATCCGGACTTTTCTTGTTTTTCTTTCCTAAAGAGCGACTCTATGTCTTGTCATCAGACTTTTGTAAGTTGATTTGAATCGATTAACCTATGATTTGAATCGATTAATCTATGATTTTAATCGATTAATCTATTATTCATCTACGATTTATGTTCGTATACATTAACTCAAAATACTCGTAAATTATACTCTTTGAGGATACTTGAGGGGTTAATTCAGCATCTGAACTGAAGTAAATCAGGGGACCAAACTGTCTAAACACGCTAATTATAAATGATAGATAAAGACACTAACATAGTTACACTGGCCAACATTCAGACGTGTTTATTATGTCTTTATTAAACACACGGCTACCCATGGAGATGAAGGGTTCGATGTCCTGTATAATCGTTGGACTTCACTGGCATGATAAAATGACACGAGGAATAATATGAACATTTATAAAAACATTATGTGCTTGATATGTTAAATTAGAGATTGTAATTAAATGTTTAAATGTCAACCCAGTCAGCTTGATAACAGGAATGGACCTTTCCGTTTAAATTATGTTATGTGAGATCCGGAACCGAGGAGATTTTTCAAACAACTAGTGATATTGGTTTCAACTGTATCTAATTGTGTCCCGTATATTTTAATATCTAATTATGTACCGTGTATCTATGTATCTAATTATGTCCCGTGTATCTATGTATCTAACTATGCCCCGTGTATCTATATATTTAATTATGTCCCGTGTACCTATACATCTAATTATGTCCAGTGTATCTATATATTTAATTATGTCCAGTGTATCTATATATTTAATTATGTCCAGTGTATCTATATATTTAATTATGTCCCGTGTATCTATTTATTTAATTATGTCCCGTGTATATTAATATTTTAATTTTAGTGAGGAAAACTGTACTGGTATCTGGAAACGTTACTACTGTTACAAATAATTGGGATGTTATATCACTGGAAGCAAGGGTAGGTCTGAATTTATCAATTTATCAATTGAAACATATTATACACACAACACTCTGAGATTTCTTATTTTATTCCAGTATAATTAATATTATACCTATATTTCGAAATTGTTTTCGGTTGTTTATTTGTTCCACTGCATTTAGTCTTTCTACACTGATGAAACCAAAACCTTGTCAATGCGGTAAAAGATTGCAACTGCAGTCCTTGACGACTTATGTCTAGTATTGCAGCTAAGACAGAGGTGCCTATCATTGAGACAGTGGTGAGCAGCGGCTTTGTGATGCCCTAGGCCAACTCTCTGCACGCTACGACAATGCGGAATAAATGCCACTGTTGTGCACCACGCCCTGTTTTATTCTCAGATTGCTCATATCTCGGTTATTTTTCAACGGATTGTCTTCGGGTTTTCATTTTTGGATTCTTTGGACGAATCCCATATGGGCTCTAACTGACGGTCTTTCGAAATTCGGAAGTTTGCTCGAATAGATTTGGCATCAAAGATTTGCTAAAGTACCCTTCCTCATATTTTCCGACATTCAAGATGACGTATCTTCATCACTATTTGAGGTATCAAGTTGGTAGGAATACGGAACACATCGACGCCTTCAAAATGGCATTCAAAAATTTTGCGTCCGCTTCCGGAAACTTCCGGAAATTACCGAGCCCTTCCGATTTTTTCCGAACATGAATAGTTGTCTACATTTTAAAAATAGATAAAAAATGACATATGGTGGTGTTAGCCCCAGATATTATCTTTCATTTTCAGAGATCTTGTTCCATAACATTTTCAACCGTTTGGCCGCCATATTGGATTTTACAAAAAATCTACAAATCAGTATTCAGCCACCATTTTGATTCCGATTTTCGAAAACTTTTATTTGTTTCGAACCTACTCCAAATGGCAAAAATCCTTAGGGAGCCGAATTTTGAATTTTGATTTCTATCTGGTGACCTAATCTTTTAATGATGACCCTCATGTCTACTAACAATTAATATCAAAAAGTTTGTTCTTGAAGTATAACTTCCGGTTTTATTAAGAATTCAAAATGACAGTTTTTTCAACTTTAATAGGTATTGGATCTTACTATACTCAATAATGCATGGTGAAACTTGATTGTTGACGTAACAGGGCGTGAACTGACGTACCGAAACACGTCAATACTCTTTGGAGTTCTATTTTATTGCTGTATTTTATTTTGCAGGGAGATCATGTATGGGGAGCAATTAATCAAAATATGCTATTCAACATTACAACACCCATATCTATAACAAATGGTTGGGTTGGCTTGGGATCCTATCCCTATGGAACGGCTTACTTTGATGATTTGCACATAAATAAAGTTTAATTTACCGTGGAAATAATAAAAAGATATTTGGTTGAAATATTGTGTTTATTTGTTTTTAAGATGGTGGGCTGTGTTTAACATCTATCCGACAGAAACTAGGTTATATCTGGACAAACATTTTGTACCTTTTTATTTCGCGTGATTTCCCCTTGTCAGTTGTGTAGGGTGGAGGAGGACCTGGCAGCTATCTAGTCGTTCGAATGAGACGAAAACCCGATGTCCTGTGTACAATTGGCATGCACGTAAAATATCCCTTGGCAGTTGGAATTCGATATAAGAGTAGCCAGTAGCGCCGCTGTAAGGGCACAATTGTCCTCATAGCACACTACATGGCGTGTGCGCGTCTTCTTTAACCCAGTCGGAGCAGAATAGCAGGACGTTAAACCCCTTTTTATTTCATTCCACACTTTTATTTCAATAATTCGTTTGCGCGTAAGGGTTTTTAGTAGTGGGATAAACCCGGAGAAACCCATGAGGTTGGGCAGCAGGACTCAATAGCAGACCTTATGATTTAAGTGTCAGACCATTCGGCTACCCCACCACCCAAAAATACTAGAAAAGTATTGACCCCAACTAGATGTTACATAACAACCCCATAATATCTACTGTTTGAGCGACACTTATTGTTTTAGTAGTTTAGGTGCTGTGGGTGGAAAACCGAGTCCTTTAAAGGAACAAACATTCGAAAGGCAAAATGTATCAAATTTCAATTTTTATCTGGGGCATTCACAATAAATAATCTAGAACATCCCACTAGCATCCATATGGCTTTTCTTATCTAATCTCCCTTACAGTACTGAGTACACTAGAACGTAATTTTGGTAATATTATACTAGTTCCATAAAAGAGATAGCATGTTTGACTGCGTGTAGAACAAACCCGTGCAATTCCCGAGAGTCCAACAAATTCCGACTGATTCCGATCTAGATTGATTCCTGTTGCAAATGAACCCGAAGGTTTAAATATTCTAGCAGAGACGATACCATCATCATTCAGTCAGTAACTGGAGCACCTACAGACAAGATATTAAGACAGAATTGCGTTATATACCAAAACAAATCCCTTCTGTATGAGACTATCATACGCTTGTGCGTAGGGTTTATTTGGCAGTGGAAGGAAACCGGGAGACCCGGAGAAAAGCCACGAGGTTCGACAGGCGACCTTACTCCTTATAGGGGAATCGAAACCGGTTAGAAAAGAATAGCGCGACTATAAACCTTATTTCGTTTTATTTCATTGTGAAACTGAGACGACAATGACAGCGTATGCAATAAATCCAATGCCAGATTTGTCTACAAGTGGATCCTAGGCCAAACGCACCCAATTTACCCGGTGTACACTTCGAACAAAGTTATACGCTGGCACGCTGTGCGACAAGTTAGTTTCAGTAGGCCCCCAGATACCCGCACTATCTTTAATATTTCTAACTGTCGTGTGTCTGTTTGTCTGCTCAGGGATGGCGGCTTCATTAGGGCTTCCGGTTTCGGAGTTACAGGCACAACTGGAGGCAGACCACCATTAATTTCCCCATTGACTTCAATGTTAATTCTGACCTCTTTGCCCAACTCCAATTTTTCCCAAAATTTTCGTTGGGCTGAATGCTTTTCACTACAGACAGAGGAACAAATGGTCATGTCTTTGCACTAAAATTTGTATGAGGTTGACCACCAAAATTTTGAGATACACAAACTTGAAGAAGCATACTAAAAACATGTAACTAGTTGCCTTACATATCGCCGTAGCCAACCTGATAACCCTGTTATCCTTCCGCCTCAAAATCATTAATATTTACCAAAACCTGGCAGAAAATGTTAATTCAAACCCTCTTCGTCTATTCTAGACCAAAAAATCAACAAAAATGGGCATGCAAAAGGGGAGAAGAGAGAGAGAGAGAGAGAGAGAGAGAGAGAATTGCTATAAATAGGTGGTACCGAGATGGTGAAATTTAATGGTGGTCTGCCTCCAACTCGGGCAGCACAGGGTTATCCACTAATCTTTAACATTTGACCTTCATTGCACTATTCACTAAACATAGATCTTTAACATTTGACCCTCATTGCACCAATCACTAAACAGATCTTTAAAGCGATAGTCACATATTTTCTAAGAAAATTAAAACATATTGCTTAAAGTTACAATTTCATATTTTCTAAGAAAGTCAAAACATAATTATTTCTATGTCTTTTGCTCAATAGGTTGTCAACTCACTATTATACGATCATAGGTGTCATTCTCACACTTAAAACTCATTTACACCGGAAATAATACCACAATTACCTCCTAATTACCTCCCTTGTTTTCTATTCTCCACCATGGAGTAGCTATCCTCAAACGTTTGAATTTGAAAAGGAAAATGATATTTTTGCCAATTTCTCAACTGGCAATAGTGAATTATAGGATTAATAGGATTATTCTTTAACAAGGTAGGACTGTTTATAGATACCATCTATTTTAAGGCTTTATTTTAATAAATTTTAAAAATATAACTTAACAATATGAAATTGCAACTTTAATAGGTTGTCAAATCACTATTATACAATCATAGGAACCATTTTAACACTTAAAGTAATAATAACACCGGGAATGTAGCATATCGACCACCCAGGTTTTCTATACGCTCCATGGAATTGGTAAAGCTCAACGTTGATGTTTCAACTTGAAAATGAAACTTGAAGGTGCTAATTTCTCATCTGAAAATCGTGAATTACAATGTATAGAAATAGGTGTGTGCATGGATTCCGTGTATTCCTAGGCTTTATTTTAACATATTGTAGCACATGAATTTAAAAAATACAACTATTTCTTTAATATTTGACCTTCATTGCACTGATCACCAAGATAGATCTTTAAGATTTGACCTTCATTGTACTGATCACCAAGACAGATCTCTAACATTTGACCTTCATTGCAATGATCATCAAAGATAGACTCCTTTTTCTTTATTCGTATCTAATCTATAAGTAAAGACTGATAAAATATTTTCTTGTTCTATTTTAATAGTCCTGTATCAATGAAGTAGTGTGTTTGGGTGTGAAATGGAAGTATTAATAAAATTACTTGTTTTAGATCTATGTTGTATATACGGGATCAATGGTGCAAGTTATAAAATTGATAATAGCGTTGGATATGGCAGAACATTTGATGGTATTGGCGCCATTAGTGGTGGAGGGGTAAGGCGTACTTTTAAGTGTAAATTGTTGACATTCATCCATTGTATATGTAGGTAAAGATTGGTTAGCCGCGGTAAGTCAGTGAGTAAGGGGCTAGCTCCATCCCGGTATTCATTATCAGTGGTGCAGGACGGAAAGCGGATTGGAAGAAAACCGATATCCCGTTTATTCGTTAGCGTGCACGTAAAAGAACCTATAAAACTTTGAAGACGTGAACTTTTTATTGATCAATCCTTAGTTTGAATGTTTCAATAATACGACATTTTTATTTTAATACAGGCAACATCTAAATTGTTGATTAACTACCCAACAGAGCAGAGATCACAGATACTAGATTATCTATTTAAGGTAAAATATAAAAGTTTGTTCTTCTGATTTCAAATTGCATAATGCAATTGCTGTAATTCCTAAACAAACACATCATATTGTCATGGATTTCACTTTGTAAAAATACAATAAAGAATACGAGTAAACACCTAGATATGCTTAACGAATTTTGTCGTGTTATATTTATTAAAAATTATCCTCGTGATCATCCTTTCTTTCCTAGAGTCGCATCTTCCGGGCGTGCAAACTCTTTCTAGCTTCCCCTGTCATATAGGCTTTGTTTTTGGAGATCGTCGACGGAGACGAACCGCTCTCGCACCCATCTCGTCATGCCGCACCCAACTACTAAAGCAATATACGTTGCAATCAATATATTCTGATAACGGGGTTGACTTTGGTCCCGTGTTGAAAGCAGCGTCACTGGGGAAACTTTGATTAAATGAGTGGACGACCAGAGCCTGATTACCTGTGACATTTACCTGTAATTTTCCCCAGTAACGCTGCTTTCCACACGGTACCCTAGTTTGCGGGGGTCAATGCTCTAAATTCTATTGCAATGATTATTTTTTTATATGTATATTGTAGCCAAATTTTGGTGCCTCTTTACAAATATTCAAGGTGGAAATAGGTGGTGATATACAAAGTACAGGTATGTTTATTATCATAATGTTCAGGTGTGTTTATTATCATAAACTATAGGTATATTTAGTATCGCACCATAAAGTACATGTGTGTTTATTATCATACCATACACTACAGGTATGTTTAGTACATTAAAGTACAGGTATGTTTAGTACCGTGACGGAATTAAATACTAAAAGTACAGGTATGTTTAGTACCGTAACGGAATTAAATACTAAAAGTACAGGTATGTTTAGTACCGTAACGGAATTAAATACTAAAAGTACAGGTATGTTTAGTACCGTAACGGAATTAAATACTATTTTTAGAAGTATAAAGGATAGGTATGTTTAGTAACCTAAGGGAATTAAATATTTTACATATCAATTAGTTCATCGGGTTTTTTTTATAGTATAAAGTACCCGTATGTTTTGTATCTTAAGTACAGGTATGTTTAGTACCTTAAAGTACACGTATGTTTAGAACCTTAAAGTACACGTATGTTTAGTACTGTAAAATAATTAAATATTATTTACATATTAATTAGTTAATCGGATTTACTTTTCATTTTTATTTTGATTTTGTTTATTGTTTTGAAAAATGAAATGACAACCGTCATTGATCACTTTATGTCTATACAAAAAATTATTTTACGTGTAGATGGAACAGAAGCATCTCACATGCACAATAGTTGGGATGAGAATTATAATCGTGGTTATGAATGGTGGATGATGAAAGAAGCTAAAAAGGTTGGTAATTTTTCGTATCAATCCATCATCAAAGCCCCTGTCCCGCCGGCCACAATTTAGTCACGATTGACCCTGAATGGCCAGCGATATCCACTAACGTAAACCATTGTTAAACCATCTGAGAAACGGCGGACTACAACCTAGGATAACGTTTGAGAGAACAACAGAGAAGCTTTGGGTATTATGTTCTATCGGGCAGCTCTCTATACTATATTGTTGTAGTGTCACACTACAAACCTCAGAATGCCTCGTTCGGCATTTTTGTCCAAACGTGGCAAAAACGTATTAAAATTTTTGCCATAATTTTGTTTTTGTTTTTACCACGTTACAACGTGGCAAAATTGTGGCAAAAATTTTATTAGCACGTTTTTGCCACGTTTGGACAAAAATGCCGTACGAGGCGTTCTGAGGTTTATAGTGTCAGTGTCGTTTTATTTTTTTGACAATTTTTATAATTTGACCGCTTAAGCATAGACTTTATTTTTATTATTAACTGGTCGCCTTTTCTTTATAGAGGAATCCAGATATTAAACTGTATGGATTACCATGGGGATTTCCAGGATTTTTAAAGGACGCTTACGACAGACCGTGGGGTAATATACAGTCAACAGCTGATTATATAGTTAAATGGGTTAATGGAGCACATGTGTATCATAATCTCACTATGGATTATATAGGAGTAAGTATAATTCAATTCAAGGATACTGTGAGCATAGCAACTATGAAATAGGTAACAATACAAAGGATCATAACACCATTTTTCGAAATTGCCAGAAAAACCTTTCAAATGAAAATGTCCACATGTCTGATCATTAACTACATTTTTATTTGAAGATTTGGAACGAAAGCCCCTACAATATAACTTATATAAAGGTAAGCAATAATATTTTATTTCTTTGTGATTACCAAATTAATGTAAACAACGACCATAACTTGTCTTTATTTCTATCAAGAGAACTGGCCGTCGCCCTTATGAGTTCGTTTCGTGTAGGATGCTTTCAGAATGTAGGGGGTTCTAGTGTTTAGACCCCCTCGCCTCATTCTTAACCCTAACCTCACACCGTTAGCTTATCAAACTATCACAGGATTGCCCTTTTTAACGTCTGTAACCGAAACGTTTATGACTGAAAACAAATTTTGAGCTAAATAGGAAACAAACCGACAGTCACATTGACTGCAGAATGAATTGTACTTTCTGAAAGTAATTCTTGAAATTTTGTTTATACAGACACTAAGGAAAACTCTAGACAATGCAGGTTTTAATAAAACTAAGATTATAGCTAGCGACAATAACTGGGATATTGTTGGCGATATGACCAAAGATGCTGAATTAAACAATGCTATATTTGGCGTCGGGTTAGTATGTTGAATTATAGAAGCTTAAAATCTGTTGACAGACACTAAGGAAGTCTCTTGATAATGCTGGTTTTGGTAAAACTATGATCATAGCCAGTGATCAAAATGGTTGGCATATAGCAGGTGATATGGACAAAGATGCTGAATTAAAAGATGCGATTTTTGGCCTCGGGTTAGTATGTTGTAATCTAGAAAAAAAAAAGCAGATAGAAGTTTAACTGGCTGTAAAATTGTGATATATTTACATGACTGACGAAGCATACCCAATACAATCATGAGATGTAACAAACAAACATGTTACACACTAACTCAGACTGGGTGTACAAATATCTGACTAATGTCATCACTTCCATTGTTTCGTAGTTAATTTTCCATCTCGGGCAATATACCACATCCCCAGTTTAGTACCCGTTTCTCATATGGCACGTTATGCTAAAGCACAATCTGATTAAAATACAGATCCTATTTCGTTTCGTTTTTTTTAGTTCAAAATTTCGTTTTACTTGTCTATACTACACAAGGATATGGAAGAGTTGTTATATATAACTCGCGTTCTGGAAGAGAGAGATTAGCAAATGAAACGGTCTGGTACGGAGAGTTCTGGATGAGAGAGATTAGCAAATCTCGTATGCCGCTCGTATGACCCCTGACACGACCTCCCACTACACCTGGTCAGATCTTCATGTAGTAGAGGCCGTCGAACGTATAAAAAACGAAACGAAATATAGATCATTTGACCATGGTGTTCTGGAATGCGAAAAGCTATTAACATAGAACTTATACAATTGCAAATTGTTGACATCTGCACTATTTTTCGAATATTTTTTTTATTTGATATAATAGACCATACCAATTTGATTTTCTGTTCTTCGAGAACACATATAAAAATCTACCGTCTTGTTTCTTCGGGAAAAATACCTATTTAAAAAAACAAAAGTACTTGGTTGCACCGTTCAAAAGCTTTTAGTTTGACATTTTTAAGTTTTGAAATTGTAAACAAAACATCTTTCACATGATTCAAGTAGCTATATATTTATCAAGATCCCAAAGAACAGAAAACCAAAGTGGTGTGGCTGCCTTTTAAATGTTTCATATAAGTTTATTTTGTACCATATTCCACCTTCAGATCCCATTATCCAGGTACCTACTCAACCCAGACAGCTTTCACTCTAAATAAACCATTGTGGGCATCTGAAGATTGGGGGTGTCCTGATGAATTGACAGGTCCAGGGTGTTTGGCCAGAGTGAGTTTAGTAACATTCTAATTTATTCCAGGTCTCATTATCCAGGAACAAGTTCAACCCCAGAAGCTGTAAATATGAATAAACCACTGTGGGCATCCGAAGATTGGTCTTGTGTAGATCCGCTAGTGGGCCCTGGTTGTCTTGCAAGGGTAAGGTCGCGTAAATGTAAAGCGAATGTTCTGTCTTAAGATTGAAACTTTGCAAATGTTCAATAGCGAACAACAAATATATTGAGTGAAATTGATTAAATTGGTTATACAGGTGAAGCTTAAGTAATAATAAATGATGCTGTATAAGTTCCCATAGCTAATGGTTATGATTTTATTTTTGTATTTTCAGACTCTGAATCAAAATTATGTGAATGGCTATATGACATCGTAAGTTATTTTTGTCATAGGTTTTATTTTTTATAGCAGAACTGGCTAATGTACACTGCAATTTGTGAAAGTTAACACATTTATTGCTTCAAAATCATAAAGTGAAATTTTAGTCGATACCTCCCTTGGATGAGTTTTCAACCCAGGTGGAAGCGTGCGTAGTAGTAGTAGTAGTAGTAGTCGCCTTTGAAAATAGAAGTTGTGTCAGAGAGTCCTATTTACTTAAGATTTTGATTTTTTTTCTAGTACAATAATTTGGAATATAATATCAAGTTATTATTATGGATTACCGTGGTATAATTCTGGTATTATGACGGCATCTGAGCCCTGGTCTGGTCATTATATTGTTCCCCAAAATATATGGGTGACAGGTAAGTCCGTTTTACCCATTTCATCCTAAAATTAATAACATAGTATAAACTTATTCTCAAATGACATTTTTCTGCTAGGTTTTATTTGTCTTTTGGCATTACCACTGCCCCGAATGCGTTTCAATGCTTAATGTAAGAACTGAGTGTTGCGTAACTAGTGTAGCAAATATGGGTAGAATCAAATGGCACGAATATTGACATAAATCGGTCTATTTTCAATTTCATCTGGTCAAAAAGCTATTCACTGAAAGGTATCTGCTACGAAAACTGAAATTCACAGTTTCTATCATAGTTCATATACAGCCACAAATATTTACAATAACCAACGTGCCAGTTCACCAAATTACCAAACTCTCGTGAACAGAAACCTAATCTTTGAAAAGTATATACTCATAAAACTAAGACCGACATGAATATTATCTTTCTCAGCTCATACGACCCAATTCACATCTATTGGTTGGAAATATTTAAAACATGGATATGGTGTTGGTAAATTAAATGAAGGAGGTAGTTACGTTGTATTAATCAGTCCAGATGAACAAGATTTAACTATCATAATAGAGACATTGGTAATAAATATATTTGTATTGATTCCCCCTCTACCCATTTCTAAAACGTAATGTCACTCTTCTTTCTTTTTTTTACCTTTTATTGATTACAAAATTTAATTAATTGGAAATTTGGAACGTTCAGTCTGTGTCTGTAAACATCTTTTTATATGAATGTATTTTCTTTTTTAGAGCCACGATTCTTCGATCTGCACACGCCCACCACTGGCACCTTATAATGTAGTTGCTGGACAAACAGCAACTTTTAAACTGGCAGGAATCCTGGTGAGTAATAGAGAATTAAATAGCTAGTGTTCCAAATAAATTAAAATTGGTTTTACCGGCCTGTTTTTCAACACGAGTAAATCTAATGAAGATGGAAATAGGTTATTTGCTCTGAAAGCCGCGCCATGACCTTTTCTTCTTTTGATTTCCATCTGTTGGGATCTTTAACCTGATGTCGATGGTATACAATGAACAAAAGGGTGGACCCTAGGTTATCGTCCCATTCGAACGACTAGACGCCTTTCCTTGCAAGGTCCTCCGTTCTGCATCGCTGAAAAATGAAATCCAGACTGGGCAATCCCAGTATGTATTTTTTATTTAATGAAATTCCATTCGTTCATTTTCAGAAACAAAGATTTACGTCATTGAATACATGGTATAGTAAAATAGGTTATTACAAATTTCCTTCTGTTTCATTTGAAAACAGAGGACCTTCAACGGTAAGAAAATCATTAATTTTATTATTATTTAGAGATCCTTTCTCTCTCTGGCTTGTTTTAACCTTATCCCATTTCTAATTCGTCATATATTTGTAAATACTAAACGGAATCGAGCCATATTTGATCTAATATTATTTCTGGAGATTCAACTTTCTGAGTATTGTAGTTTGTAAGAGATTTATTCTTGGTATTAAGAAGAGCAACGGCAAATATTTATTACTAGTTATTCTCTGATATCAAGAGTCCAGTTTATGACTGAATATAGCATTTGGCCAGATACTATCCAGACATATTTACATTTTTGACCGCTGTAAACGAGATAAATAAATTATTTTATAGATACAAAATGGCTCTTTATCTGTATACCTTGGAAAGGACGAAGTTTGGACTTTGTCAACTCTTAAGTCAGGTTTTAAGGGCAGTTTTCCATCAATACCGGGTTCCAAACGGTTTCCACTTCCATATATTGAAGATTTCGAAGGTAATCTTTGCATATAGATTTATAATGCCAACTCGGCCAACAGATTGAGTTTGGTTACTGGGTAGTTTCTATTTATGTACATACAATTATCATTATTGTTTACTATTGCTTCCTGGGAAACGTGCTAGGAGAGCCAGGTGTGTTTGAGAGGCTAGTCCAGTACATGGTGGAAATGAGGGGGGGGGGGGTTAGGATTCGAGACCTCCATTCCCACCTGTTAGAGACACGTCAATTTACGTTCTTACGCTTTCGACACAAAAGGCGATTGCATACACCCACACCAGACTGAACATGTACCTGCTACCATTGAATTAATTAGTGGTCTAATGCCTGGGACCAAACGTGGTTTGTATTCGTTTCCCTTTACATTTAAAATTATCACTCGTGGTCACACCAATTTTATTGCCTGATCTTCCGGAACACGTGTTCAAATTTTGCTGACTAATTTATTTAATAATAAGACTAATTTATTCAATAATAAGACTAATTTAAAAACCAAAGGTGTTTGGATGTACTTTTCAAAAGCTTTTAATACCAGATTTTTTAGTTTTGAAATTTTAAACGCCTTTCATATAATCCGAGTGGCTATTTATTTATTAAGACCAGGAAGAACTGAATATTAAATTAGTTGAGCCTAATCCGTGGCAGGTTCCCAAGCTTCTCGTACAACTTTGAAGTTTATACATGCTTTTAGAATTATATCTTTGAAAGTATTGTATTTTGATATATATATTCAGGCTATGAAGTTGGAGAGGAACCATTTAATTTAGCTCAACAGGTTGGATCGTTTGAAGTAGACCAGGTCAATAATGTAAAGTTTATGAAACAAGCTGTATTAGAGACACCCGTTCATTGGTTCTATTGTCTAATAGGCACTTACAATACATCTTTAAATGTTATTGGAGATTACACATGGTAAAGAATACTAACACCTTTTTTAATGTTATAATGTGCTAAGAACATATCGGGCATATATGAGCTTTTTGACCAGAGGTGGCATTAAATTAATGAGGGCGGGGGGGATCAAACTTTGGATAGGGTTTATTCCTAATGATAAGCCGAACAACCCCAGGATAAATCCCCCATATATATTGTTTTGACACAAGGTTTCATTGACAGAGGATGCAGATTGTTAAGTGGTCGTACACCAATTATTGTGTTACTGTATTTATGTTTAATATAGTCCTTTTATGTAATATAGATGATGTTACTGTATTTATATTTAATACTGTCTTTATATTTAATACTGTCTTTATATTTAATACTGTCTTTATATCTGTATTTATATTTAATACTGTATTTATGTTTTATACTGTATTTATGTTTTATAATGTATTTATGTTTAATACTGTATTTATGTTTAATGCTGTATTTATATTTAATACAATATTGTATTTGTATTAAATACTGTATTTGTATTAAATGCTGTATTTGTATTAAATGCTGTATTTGTATTAGATACTGTATTTGTATTAGATACTGTAATTGTATTAAATACTGTATTTGTATTAAATACTGTATTTGTATTAAATACTGTATTTGTATTAAATACTGTATTTATATCAAATACTGTATTTACATTTAATATAGATGATGTTACTGTCAAATATTTAATACTGTAATTATATAAATACAGTATTATTTAATACTGCATTTATAATTAAAACTGTATTTATAATTAAAACTGTATTTATAATTAATACTGTATTGATATTTAATACTGTATTTTTAATTAATGCTGTATTCATAATTAATACTGTATTCATATTTAATATAGATGGTGTTAGTGTATTTGTATTTAATACTGTTTTTATATTTAATACGGGTGTTACTGTATTAATATTTAATAATGCTGATACTATATTTTTATTCCTAAGGCAAGATATCCGTACTGATGTTTCTGTAAAATTAGATGGAGAAAACACAACTGATTCGGTTTATCTTTCTGTAAGAACAACAGCTTGTGGTTGTCAAGCAGACATCGAATCTGGACTTTTCTTGTTTTTCTTTCCAAGAGAGCAACGCTATCTCCTATCATCGGATTTGTGTATGTTGAAAATAATTTATTTTTTGAATTTTTAAATGTTACTATCATATTCCTTGAATATCAGACATGAATTGATAGATTTTAATTTAAATGATATCACCCCACCCAACCTTAAAGGGTTAGGTTTAGAATTTTGATGTCATAATTTTCAATAATCAGTTGCTCTGTATAATAATCCCGATGCAATGACCGGTAGTAGTCTCTTTAATCCTCAAATATTTATGGGAGCCACTGTAGCTCGGTGAGTTCGGACAGAAACACCGCTGTCCGCGCAGCATTTCCATCATAGCACACTGCATGGCGTGTGTCCGTCTTCATTAATCCAGTTAAGTCGAACGTAAAACCCCATTTCATTTCATATTTTCATTCCACAAACAACTGATTGTTTAAATTGACAACAAAAGATATTTTTTTTTGTTTTATTTTACTTTCTTGGAAATAATAGCTAACCATTTTTGATTTTTATTGGGTGAGTATAAGACACAATTTAAAATCATATTATTTGTTCATATATAGTGAGAAAGAACGTACTGGCTTCGGGAAAAGTACCAACTGTCACCAATGATTGGGATGTTATTAAACTACAAGCTAAGGTAATTTATTCTATTGTTATTGTGAAGAAGCGGTGGCCCAGTGAATAAGACGTTACAAGTGCAATTATTATTTTTTTATATCTCAATTATTCCAATGCATTTATCCTAATTTTTTTATGAAAGGTCCATGATTATTTTTTGTGAAAGTTTGTAAGCTGGAAAATATAAGTGACACACGTTTTTTTTCCATGTGTGGTTAGCGACTAGTTTTCTCACTGTACGACGTGTTTATGTAGAATGTACACGAAACCATGTTCTAGTATCGTTTTCTTGTGAATAATGGGATTTCGAAAACATATCATCAGGCTCGTCTTTTTAAGAACATTCGCTTGACAAAGCTAGATAAGAAACCTTACAATCAAAACATGTTGTTAATAATTAATTCCGCGAGGGACCCAATGTTATGGAATACAAGTTTCAGAGAATATTCAGTGGCTTATTGAATGAGGCGCTAGCTAACTACCCAGAAGGTCTAGGGTTCGATCCCGTGTTCGCCGAGAAAAAAGTTTCCTGTTTTTTTTCCGGCCTGCCCGCCCCCCCCCCCATCTCCTGTCTGTGGTGCAGGCAGTGGCGGCGCCAGGGGGGGGCGAGGCAAATTGCCATCTGGTCTGTCCTCTGTTTGCCCCCCCCCCAAATAATTTTAGAAAATAAAAAAAAGTATTTGTGATACGTTTCGGTAATCAATACCTTCTACGGTGAATAAATCCCACATCCCCACTCAGTCATAAACTTGCACGTTGTAGAGCATTTCCGACAGTCTATTTTTCAAAATTGTCTTGGCGAGGTCCCCAATGGACTCGCTACTTTGGCGCTCGCAAGGGGAATTCGTTGAGGTTCGCAAGTCCGTTCATTTGACATTTTGTTCTCTAGTCGGATAAACTAGTGATCAGGCGACGGACGGTATCTGGTCAGACCTATTTATCTCGACGATCGGTGCCTGACAGAATAATGTAAGACAGCATTTCAGGCAGTCTATTTTTCAAAACTTTCTGGGGGAGGACTCCCTACTTTGACGCTCCTGAGTGGGCTTCGTCGTGATTCGCAAGTCCGTTCGTTTGACACTTTACCTCATGGATAAGCGCCTGAAATACTGCCAGGCTGCATTTCCCGCAACCTGTTTTTCAAAATTTTCTGGGGGAGGCCCCTACCCCTAGTTGAAGCTCGTGCCTTTGCCCCCTTAACCTTGGACTTTGCCCCAGCTTTGCCCCTCCAATCACCGACGGCTGGCGCCGCCACTGGGTGCAGGACGGACAACGTCTAGTCGTTTGGATGAGAAGACCACAGGTAAATTTGAATTCGACGAAAGTAGGTATAAACACCGCTCTCCGGGAAAAATTTTCCTCACGTTACACTGCATGGCATTATATGGAAGTCTTCATTAGACCTGAAAAGTAAGACGTTAAGCCTCAATTCATGTTTCATTTATATCTTTTGGATCTTTGTTGTATTTTGCAGGGAGATCATGTATGGGGAGCAGTTAATAATAATATGCTGTTCAACATAAGTATTCCAATATCTATCTCTCATGGCTGGGTGGCTGTGGGAACATATCCCTTTGGAACGGCCTACTTTGATGATTTGCATATTAATCCCGTGTAAAATGTGTAATATTTAATAATAAACCATTTAGAATATGCAATCATGAGAAGCTGTTGTCGTGTAATATTAAATTGACACAGTTTTGATGTTTTCATAAAGCAAGCGCAATAACATTATTTTTTAAAACAAAATCTGTATAATAGTGACTATTCATAATATTATATTGAGAAACAAGGAACTTCGAAGTAAACAGAATTAATGAATCATCTACAAAATGACGTCACTGCCTGTAGATTCTTAAACCGGGCGTAATAAAAATCGAAAAAGTACCCCCCCCCCCCCCCACCTTCAATTTTTTTTTTTAACATGACATGTTGGGCTATTTGTGGTTATAAATTTTAAAATCACTGGCATCTTCACTGAATGTTCTAGACCAAAACATGCCCTAGATATTTAACATCGAAGTCAAAAGGACGAGAACTACAAGTCTGGCTCCTCATAGAAGGGTCGAATTAAAACGGTGGAGGGGGGGGGCTGACTGGGATGCAGTCAGGGGCACCGATATTAAAGGCGGCCCCCAATTAGTGCTTTTCGCAGCTCTGGTGAGGCTACCAGGGGGTTTGTGCCGGAATATGCTCCCTTTGCACTGTTGATGTAAGGGCCCAATGAAAGAAATGTCGTGGATTTATTAGTGAAGTCAGCAGGACGAGAATTACTTGTCTTAGTCCAGATAATGCAGATATCCGGAGCGATTTTAATGGAGGCCAGAGGCCGTATATAGCGAACATCTACTTCTACACGTTAGATCGATCTACCTCAAATAGAAGCAAAATTACTGTGTTCCAAAACAAGTCCCCGAACAACAGAAATATGGACAGCTGTTTATCCTAAGTATGAAATGCTCATCGTGGAATTCATTCAAGATATTTAGCTAATAAATATCTACGCCAAGTTTGAACATTTTACCTCAATCAAAAATTATCAAGGTCCAAAAGGTATGGCGGATGGACGGACAGGCAGACCAACGGACGAACCCATCTCAATAGTCCACAATCTTCTCCGAAAAAAGAAATCATTGTCTACTTTTAAAATAATTTATTTGTGCATAGATATGAGAAAATGAAATTAATATATTCATTTCTACTCATAAAAACAATCAACAGGTGCAATAAAACCAATACAAACACATATTCCATAACAAAAGATAAAATATTTATAACATTACCCCCAAATGCACTAGACTGATGCCATTGCTATTAAGTATTGTTTAATGGTCGAGAGCGAGACATTAAGTAATATATGGTAACAACAAGAGGACCGTCAGGTCCGAGTGTTTTTACAATATATTACGCAATGTCTCAGCTCGAGACCATTAAACATCTTAAAATACAGACACTCCGCACGTGCGTTTACAGTGAAATACGTCACTCGAGTCTAATATTTGACAAGGTACGATTGGCAAGTTGCCCGTACGATTATTTGAAATAATGGTACGCCAACATCAAAGGGTGACGTCACATCTGTATTTTAATACCATATATGGACATTCTGGTAAATCCTAGTTGATAAACTTTATGGACGACTTTTCAGCTCTTTATTAAGAATATTATTTATTAATCCTTAATTTAAAGTGTTTGGTTCTAATTTAGACGTTCTTAAACCATAGTTAAAAATTACGAGGATTAAAACACTTTTTTTTTTGTAATTGTCGAATTTACGAAATCAATTTGTAGACTTTAATGCATGAAAGTCGATTTCGGATCAGTTTGAACTAAACACTGAACCAATAAAGTATCTCGATAAAGGCCATGGGCATTAGTTCGGTTGTACGTAAAAGGGGGACTTTAAACCCATTTAATCTAATTACTTAATGCAGTGCTGAATTGTCTTCCATAATCAAGGAGCTCAATAATCATAACATTAGTCTGTCTTATTGCAATAAAATTGTCTGACATTAATTTTATAAATGGTACAAAAAGAAATCAAATATAACATGGTACCAGTATGATTAGGGACTATTTATGTATAAGGATTTGACAACCGTATGATACATAAAAAAAGTAATAATCCAATATTTGAGGAATATAATAGCGCATCGACAAACAAACACATAAAAGCATAGATATCTTGATGATACAAATAAAACTTGCAGTAATTTAAAGTGATTACTCATAATTTTATACAAATAAGTACGACAGTACTAAATGACCCAAGAACTGAACATGACGTCATCGCAGCCATCTTGGAATTGTGACGCCAATCGATAAAGAATAAGCATGCCAAATTCCATGTCGATCGTACTGGAATTGACAGAGAAGAACAATGTGGATGCATCCAGTTCTTAGTTTAAAAAATCATCCATAAATGAACGTAACTAGATATATGAATAAATAACCTCGACTTTTTAATTAAATAACTTGATATATATCTATATGCTTAGACTATGTATATGGATAACAATAATACTATATATTTACAAAGCAGAACATATACACCAACAATATACATATACCGAAAATCTGCCGACTACTGGACAAGTTAGCCATTTAGTATTAGCATTTATTGCACAAGTCCCATCTACAAGCAAAACTAACATCCTAAACTTTCGGTTTAATTTTTTTACTTTTCTTCAGCCGAATGTGATGGAAATGTCAGATAGTTTAAACAAAAAAGGTGGATCAAAGTTGGTTTAAGAACAACAAGTACAGGAGTGCTACATGAACCGTCCGCCCGTCGATCGATGCACAACTGTCCAAATAATACGCATGCCGAGTTTCGTGTCGATAATACTCGATCGTGCTTAGATTATAAGTTTAGTTTCCTCCAAAGTAGATGAGTTTACCTTGCTAATCGTTTAAAAATGAAAACAACATTATTTTAATGATCGTTTAAAAAATTCCAAAACAAATTATTTTAATGATAACAAGACATAGATATTTTAAAATCAAGAATAAGTGGGACTCAAGAAAATATGTAAGATGGATCACAAGGTGACGGGAATATTGTAGAAAAATAGATAGTACAAACTATACACTCATTTAAATATTGGTTGACGTTACCCCCCCCCCCCCCAACCCTATGAATGAATAAGTAACAGTAACAATATATATATATATATATACATGTATATATAGTTACTGTTACTTATATTTATATGATGTACAAATTGTAAAAATAAATTAGGAAACTAAAATCATAAGGAATATCTTGCGACAACAGTCAGGAAAGCTAGTAGATAAAACGTAAAAGTTATTCTGTCAGAACCTGAAAGAAAAATTAATAACAATGTCAAACATACATTATGCAAGAGATAAATCTGCCAATTGCAGGTCTTTCTTTAGGCCTGAAATGTTATCTAAATTATTAATTAGACATTAATTAACTTATCCAGACCATAATCAACTCTCGATGGCATCGCTAGCCTGCGATATTTACTGGATTATGATCCCATTTGCTGCTCGACTTCCATTCATATTTAATCATGAAATGGATAATCGAGACTATGTTTTTTTTATCGTAAAGACTTTATTAATGATGATCGAGGCTAGGCCGAAATTTCAATCGCTTAATTCTCGGTTCATAGTGGATCAATTTGACTGAAATTTTCAGCAAATTGCCTTTACATTATCTAGTTTTAACTATTATGGTGAGAACTGACAGCTCTTTATCTAATCTCCTAAACGGGTGTTTATGTATGACGTACATGTACTTCCGGTGACTATTTTTAACCCACGATAAATCACACTAATAAAAAAAACTAAATGATTACAAACAACTTCATCCTATGGCATTTTAAATAGATCTTGAAGGTGGTCTGATTTGATTTTCCATAGCTGCAGTTTTTGTGTCCATGATTAATAATGTAATGTCCGAGTTGTGTAAAATAATGTTCATGTGCTATGTAGTTAAGGCGGCTAATTTTATGAAATAAAAATATATTTCTTTTCAAATGAGCATTATTTATTACCTATTTCTAAAACATCAGCAACAAACAGTATGGCTGAATATGTTTTTTTTTGCCCCAGAAATGGCTAATTATCATTCGAATCTTATCAAATGTTCACGATTTGATGCATGATTTCACTTTTTAAAAAAAATATTTTATTGTAAATTTATCTATAGAGATAAATAAAATACAGGATGAACGATGCGTTAGTATTGTAAAAAAATCAAATTAGTGTAGCTATCTTATTATTAAAATGCTATATACTCATATCAGTTAATATGCCTTGCTCCATTAGATATAAAAAAATTACTATCTGTATAACTTTAAATTTAAATTAAATTTAGTTCTAGACACAAATAACACATATGATGTATGACTGTTTATCAACCTAAAAATACTGATAAAAAATTATATTATTTAATAAAAACGATCAAATAAAAGTAGCATGTGTAGTGAGAGAGAGAGAGAAATGGGGTTTAACGTCCACTCGACACAAACTAGGTCATTTCGGGACTAGCATATGGTTTAATTTTATTTCAATAATTCGCTTGCGCGTAGGGGTCTTTTGCAGTGGGAGGAAACCGGAGGACCCGGAGAAAACCCACGAGGTTGGACAGGCGACCCTACTCCTTGTCACGTACAACCGGGGATTCGAAACCACGCCAGTCGACTCAATGACAGTCTTTATGATAAAGCGCGCACGCTAACCATTCAGCCCCCCGCATGTGTAGTGTAGCTGTCTTATTATTAAAATGCTATATACTCGTATCAGTTAATATACCTTGCTCCATTAGATATAAAAAATTAATATCTGTATAACTTTAAATTAAGATTAAATTTAGTTCTAGACACAAATAACACACATGATATATGACTGTTTATCATCCTAAAAATACTGAGAAATAATTCAATACATATTTAATAAAAATGATCAAATAAAAGTAGCATGTGTATTGAAATATTTAGTTGGTCCCGTCTCGGTGTTGGTTGAGAAGTACCTCACAATGAACAATATTCAGTCATTTGTAATGGACAAAAAATGAAATGAAATGGGGTTTAACGTATACTGATGTTCTGCTCCGACTTGTCTAATGAAGACGGGCATACGCCATACAATGTGCTATAAGGGAAATTTTGCGTACTCTTATAATTATCGAATTCCAACTGCCGAAAAGGTCTTTTGTGTGCACGGGACCGTGATTTTTCGTCCCATCCTAACGACTATATAGACCCTCTGTACACGTAAAGGAGCCGTTGACAGGCTGGTATTCGATCAAGAGAAGCCGGAAATGCCACGGCCCGGCCAAAATTTTCGTCACATTGCCCGGTTATGGGCATAACGCTATGGGCATTGTAAAATTTGTATTGTGTGGCGAGAACAAAATTACAACAGTTTGTGCACTGTACAGTGGTTTGGTAAAAAGTAAGTAACCGGTATTAATAAAATTCTAACAGTAAAACACACACCGCTATATAGTGACATTTTCATATACAAATGTTTCAAGTGAAAAATCCAAATGAACAAAAACTTGAGAGTAAGACTGGGGAGTTTTTGATTCAGTGATAAAATTAAATATAAACTCAGATGAGATAGAAAATAAAAGTGTTGTTTAAAATCATAGTAAAAAAACAAACATAGATATTACTTAATGTAACAAGGGTGGCGCCAGAGGAATGATGTGTAAACTAAACAATAGAACAAATAACCAGAGAAAATATTTAATGTAACAGTAGCGGCGCCAGATAAGTGACGTGGGTCCCTGGCTCCCTGCTTCCCATTGGACGATATTTTCCGTAGTAATTTTCTCACTTTCTGATCGCGGCTAAGATGGAATTACTTCTATTAATAGTGTTTTTCATCAAGGTCGTACTCCAAATTGTAGGTTTCCCTTGGAATTTTTAAAAATGGTTATGGCAGAGGCTCACCCCCCTTAACCCCCACCCCTTACGCTAAAGGAAAATACTGGCACCGCCATTTTCAAAATCATAACCTTCTCCAAATGCTAGACCAAACCTATATAGATATTACTTTATAACTCACCGTTATCCCATAATATTATAATAGGACTATTTACTCGCCATTACAATCTACAGAAGATTGTAATTATTGCTTGGTTATTGCGGGGTTTTAAAACAAACTATGGGTATACAATATTAATATCTGAAGACGCCCATAGAAGGCAGACAGCTAGCTTATATGATTTAATGAATGTCAGAATGAAGTAAAGTGGAATTTTTTTTTTACCTTGATGTATTTTTTTTATTTATTTATGCATTTATCTACCGTAAACAAAGAAGTACTTGTACTTCATCTACTTTAATATATATAAATATGGCACAAATTATGTAGTTTCATTTCGCCAACATAAATTTTACTTATATATATGTTGGCAAAATATATATAATCATTTTCATCCACAAACTTGAATCTTACAAATCTCCACTTTTCTCATATATACGTTTGTAAAATCTAATTTATACCAAAATAACGTCTGTTTACAGTAAGTGACGTTATAGAGAGATAAACAATGGCCAGGATTCAAGAATATTCGAAACAGAATTTCTAAATTAATATAAACATCTAGAAATTGGTTTAATTGATTCTGGCTTCTATAGGTTTATTGCTTATTTAATTGTTTTATCATAATCAAGTTGTTATTCTGACCGCGGTGGAAATGTTCGGAAAACGTTTCTTGAACCATTGGAAATCATCCATTTAATTAATGCTGAGCTGCTTGAGAGGGGCGTCCTTGGTCTAACACATGGGCATTAAATTGCAAGTTCTCCGATTTCGTCACACTGCTAAACAAGCCTTGTGGAAGCGATTTATTAAATGCCAGAGTTGTGATATTTATTAAATGCCAGAGTTGTGATATTTTTTAAATGCCAGAGTTGTGATAAATAAGTTTAATCTACACCTGTTTTGAACATTGAGTCTTACCTCCCGTCAAGGAACATTTGCTGGGTTTTGCTATTGAAAAGTCTCCAGACGCCGCCATAGTCATAGATTTACTTTTATATTTTTGAGCATCCATCCCTGAAAAAAATAACAAATTTTTGTCATGAAATATGGAGTATAGGTTAGTAAGTTGTAATTCTTTGAACATTAGAAAAAAGCTGTCCCTTTCATTACTCATGACTAATGTGATGTCTGATAGCGACAAAGTAGACGGAAAGATCATGTTTTGGTCTTGTCAGCTTTTCCAAGCCTTCCGGGGCTTAATGGAATTTTATGAATTTTGGCACGAAACAAAATGGAGTTTAACGTCCTACTTTTCTGTTCCACCAAGGCTAATGAAGGGAAATTTTGCCTGAACAGTAACTCTATGGGCTACTCTTATTTCGAATTACAATTCGCACGGGTTATCCACACGACTAGACGCTGTTCTTTTATAGGCCGTCCGTTCTGCACCATTAACAATGGAAGTCACGCCGGAAAACCCCGATGAACTGTCTTGGCCCTCAACCCAATCGAAGTCGGACCTCCATATTAGCGAGACAATGCCTTACTCGCTGAGCCACCGTAGCACTAAATTTTGACACACATAGATGACCTTTAACCCTTATTGATGTTTTCAAATATACTTCGCGGATCTTTCAACAACTTATTTATCGACAGGTTTAAAACCAAACCAAACCCACCTGTACCGTTAGTATTTCAGGAATATTCTCTTACTTTGTCATCGGGGAAAGCCCCTTTTTTAATTAAAAAATAATTATACTCACCCAGAAAATAAACTTGTAAATCTGTGCATCCCTCTTTCGTGGATGTGAGAGCCATTATCATGACATTCCACTCACTGATTTGCATTTCTTGGGCAATTGTTCGACTAATCTGGGCTCTGTGTATAAATATATTAAAGTTATTGAAGATTGGCGAAACATAAAATTTATTACACATTCGGGTCATTTCAAGTTTGGGGATAAGCAAAGTGATAGACGGCCATATGGGCAATATATGAAATGAAATGTAATTTTATCGCATAAAATAAAGGGTTGTTGAAAAGAAGCAACTTTTGAAAAATGTGCCCAGGTGGTTGTCGGAGGCCCCGTCGGTCCTATTCATCTGTTTTTTCTTGTTGTTATTCTTGGGTGACAGTCAATTCATGTACGATTGACATGACACTTGGCAGGCTTGTTCCTTGGACAATTTCACATTCATTAACGTACTTCAATTTCTGATACGACTAAACAATCCCAATATAGGTGTAATGACGTCATATTCAGTTCATGGTCCATTGTATAGGGTTATAATAGTTATGAGCTAGCAGGTTAGGATTTGAAACCTTTGCTGCCGAAAAGTCGGTAGTCGAAACGTTGTATAGTCAAGGATTATTACCTGTCAATATTTGCAGGAGTGACAATAGATAACTTCAAAGGTGTTGGTGTTCCTACAGGCATTAAAGTAGCACACGCTATTCTACCAGCTCCTTTGTTCTTTTCGTGAAACACAACAGCTTTACCAATAACTGCAAAAATACACATTGATTAAAGCACTGAACATCGACGCGAAGTTCTTGTATCACTTCAAGCAATCGGATTATTTCGTTTCGGTTTTTTTTGATACTTTCGATGGCCTACACTACATGAAGATCTGACAAGTTGTACTCGACCCTAAAACGTCAGACATTGATTAATCAATCAGCGTTGGCGTTTCTAGTGGTTTACCCACAGTTCTGTGCATGGCACGCCAAGAAGTCGCCGTAATAAACTGTTTCATTGACTTAGCCCTCACTTCAACAAAACACCGGTAATATAACAACTCTTCCAGATCCTAGTGTAGTAAAGACAAATAAAACGAAATTTTGAACTATAAAAAAACGAAACGAAATAGGGTCTGTGTTTTAATCAGATTGCACTTCAAGCTTTAGTTAATTGTCACTGATATTATCATTGGTTAAAGTATAGAACTGATTAGAGCATTGAACATCATGAAACTAGAAATATTCACATATTATCATTGATTAAAGTATTGAACGCGAGTGTACATATTACCAGTCGTACGTCATAGGAGTCCAAGAGAAATTTAGATGTTACTCGATGCATGTCATCGTATTAGGTCTAAGGCAGGAGGAGTATTATTAATCCCCAGTCCCTAATCGGAAAATTACCACAGGGGAGCCGCTTAATCACCAAAATATGTACAAAAATGGATTCAGCTACCTCGAAAACATAATCATAATATTTTTACGCCAAACTTGATCAGGGAGTAAAATTCAAATTTCCAGCCCAAATATGCCGCCATCTTGAATGCCTCTGTGGTATCACAAATCAAAACAATTTGTATGGACATGGATTTAGCTATCTCAAAAACGTATATTTTGACACCGAACTCGATCGTATTATGATAAACGGGTGACAATTGGAATTTTAAAGCCAAAATCAATTGCCATTTTGGATTGCAGCCAGTTTGACCTATTTGAACATGGATTTCGGACTGGGAGGCTATTATGGTGATTTATAACATGCGTCTAGACCGACCATAAACCGTGGTCCGCATTTCTATTACAGCAACTGCCCGCACTGATATTATCTTGCCTGGACTACAAATGTCGATTCTTGTATAACCCCAGGCTTAATTATAGCGAATCTCTAAAACTTGTCCTTATTAATTAATTATGGAGAATCCCTATGTGTCAGTGAATCTAATATATAAAAATGTTTAGATTTTAACTTGTGACAAAACAAATCGATTACTAAAAACTATGAATTCATTCTAAAAATTACAATATATGACACTGTTGAAGCCCTTTGTAAATTGAAAATATTTGCCATACCTCCCCCCTCCCGCACTGTGGATGGTATGCGGTTGATAATGAGGAGGCTATTTGTCCCTGTCACCTCTCTTGATTTTCTCCAGGTCCTCCTCTACTTTCCTTCCAGTGTTAAACAGCCCTACCCAATATTTGAACCAAAGCAAGCGCCTGCATATACTTACCTGAATACATTCCGCTTAGCGGTAGATACACGTCTGTAGTGAACATCCTACCCGAGCCTATGGTATAGGTACCTAGTTTATTACTCTGATCACCCACTTCACATCGTAAAGGATTCGTGGCACCACATTCAGAATAACCAGTCTGAAATATTCAAAATAATACTCTTAGTCTGTAATCCAGGCCCGTAACTCGGGGGGGGGGGGGGGCTTCAAAAAGTTTCGCCCCCTGTGAAAAAATTGTCGACCATAAAAAAAAATAGATATACATTGTACGTCAAATTTAAAGCACCCTTGAGAACAGTTCTCGCCCCCTCGTTGCTCTGAGCTAGTTACGCCCCTGCTGTAGTCTGTACTGTTGGTAACGGGTTGATGCAACAAACTTTAGATAAAGCTTTATTAACGTTATGGAAGCTATATAAACTGATCAAGAACTTAAAAGGTTTTAAACTACGGGTTTTTTACTACAAAAACAAGTTCGAGCTTACTATATTATAGACTGGAAATCGTGCATGACTTAATCGCAACCATCTTATCATACTAAACTTGAGCTGTCTGTCTACAGTTAGCCCCGCTTGAGAACAGACATTGAGCTATTTTACGATTTTAGTTGAAATACTAAGTATACTTCGGGAATTTTGAGTAGTATGTATTCTGGTTACATTTAATGGAATTAAAAAGTTTTATTTAATCTTTGTGTGTATGCCTGAGTAGAGCCGCATTACAAAACAATATACTAATTAATGGATATGGCAGCCATTCGGGACAGAGATCTATTCTCGAAGTATGAAGTAGATGGATCTCTGTGTGCAGAATAGAATCGAGCATGACAAAATCTCAGCCATCTTATATCAAAATTTAAAGTTCGTCAATCGATGCGCAATTTTATTTTAATCGTAATCGCGGAGTTATTATACAATCGGTAACATGTCCATAATCTTGTTGTTTATTTATGTTATATGAAAGGGCGCACTATAAATATGCTGTAATAATATAAGATAAACTTAGTTTGCCGTATTATTGTAAATGATATCGTGATCAGTCTTACCTGTAAATTGACTTTAAATGGGTTAAAATGGCCGCCAGTGCTTTGACATCGACCGGTTGTAGCCTGATCATCCCCATCTACACCTTTAACATGGACATGCCAATTATGGTCTGGTGTCTAAAAAAACCCGAAAAAACAACCAAATGGTAATTGTATATCTGAATAGATAAAATGGGGTATAATGTCCTATTTTTATGCATCGACTGGGATAAAAAAGATCGATAAAAATCATGCAGTGAGCGATGAAGGTAACTGTGCCCTGCCAGCGAAGTTAAGGCCTACTCTTAGATATGTGAATGTCCCAAAGCAATAAGAAAAGGTACCGGACATGTGAATGTCCCAAAGCAATAAGAAAAGGTACCAGTTGTTCTAGAAAGAAACAAATTAATTTGTCTCCCAGCACAAAATTTAATAATAATAAATACTTTGCTTAACAAATGTCGAATATTTGGCCCATGGGCCCGTCTGACAATTTGACTAGAGGTAAACACATCTACAGAAGTAAATAAAACACAATAATAACTACTAATTTATTCAACAAAGGTGGAAATTAGGCCCGGGGTCCTGTCTGACATTTGTGACTTTCGGTAAACATACACAGATGCAATTAAATAAAAACCAAAACATTAATCATAAACAATATAACTGGGATTTCCTTTAAACAATCTTGCCTGCGGGACAAGTCAGATATTTTTGCCAAACAAATCCCAATTTATATATTATTTCTTAAGAAAACTATTTTATAAAGATAACAATATTTATTGTATTTTAACTTTCAATTCTTTGAAATTCTAATCTCGTGGCATGTAAATTGACCGACGGATAGGTTCTCCAGTCGGTCAACGTCACTGTCTGTCATTCAAGACAGGAAAATATGACTGAAAAGAAAGGCTGACCGACTATATTCAATCCTAATTACATCCCACAGTGCCCGCCAGTTGCTTAATTACGCCAATACAAAAGATACTCACAGATGCTGATCCATCAGAATAAACTAAATCCACTTCAACACTGGTATCACTCATACTATTATCTGGATAAACATACTGACTCTAGATAAATACAAAATACAATTATAATCTCCCATTATCTGGATATACATACTGAATTTAAATAAATACAAAATACAATTATTTTAATTTCTCATACAGATTGACTCGAGATAAACAGAAACTACAACCATTTTAATCTCCTATAGATACTGATTCCAGATAAATAAAAAATACAACTATTTTAATCTCTCATAATCTAGATAAAAATAATAACACAGATAAATAGACAATGCAATTGTAATCTCTCATAATCTAGATAAAAATAATAGCTCTATTTAGAAAATACAATCTGATTTTAAAAAAGAAGAAATTAGAGTTGGAGTAAATGATACAAAATACGATTTAACATCCCAACTTTTCTGCACCAACTTGGATATCTAAGCAGGACATGCTATGAGGGAAATTACACCCCAACAGTAGGGCTACGTCCTACTCTTAATTCTTTGACATGCATGCCATGTGTACACGGATCTATTTCAATTTTTCGTCCCATCAGAACGACTAGGCACACCTTCCATGTCAGCACCGTGGAGAAGCATAGGCCAGGACTGAATATTCATATAGAACAAAGATATGTATTGCGTACTAGTTGTTCAAAAACAAAAGATCCTAACTGTAATTATGGATACTGAAACTTACCAGAGTAACATAGCCTCGAACATTTGTATCAAATTCAGCTTTAGCTTGAAACAGAGTACCACCCGTGAGACTTATATCTTCTACAATGTTACCACAAGACCAGCGAGATCCATCAGAAGCTTTGTGTAAAACAACAGATCGCCCAATAATACTTTGCGGACCAAAAAGATTCATGTTTGTATCAAAATGTTCATCATTGCTTGATACACCACTTAATTTACCAAACTTTCCGCTGATATCACCAACTTCATACTGGTCGACGGTGCCTACTGTTGGTTCCGGGTCCGTGGCCGTATCAATATCAAAAGGATTAAAGTGTCCTGCTACACTCGCAGCAGAACAGCTGGAAGAAGCTCCCGGCAAGATACCAAAGGTGTGAACGTGGTACTTGGCAGCTGTATTTGCCAAATTCTGTAAATCATTTTTAATGGTGGTCTTCCCTTCTACAACACCAGATGATTGAGAGAACTTTATTGAACCTGTTACGCCTTTAGACCAGGAGTTTACAACTGCGACCCGTTCACGGACTTCATAAATAGTGGCACAGGCCATTATGCCATTGTCGCCAAAAATAACTATTGAGCGCCCAATTATACCCATGGATCCATACAGCGGCAGATATTGGTCGCTAATACTGTGTTCGGCTGCCGTATTGTCTGCAGAGCGCACACTTATTTGCCCATGTTTTTTGGTCAAATCTCCTTTTACGCAGCGAACTGGGTCATTCATTTGGCATTGTGCGTCATACTGCGTTCCAGTTACAGTAGAATTATCAGGATTGAAGATGTTACCAGTGGAAGCGCATCGCGATGTATCGGCATTCCAGTCGGCACCAGCCATGTTTTTATTAATTTGCCACTTGTAACTAGAAGACGTTGTTGTGCCATCTGCTGTATTGAGTTCAATAAAAATGGATGTTTCTTGTCTGGATGACTTTAAAGGTTGTTTTAAGATCGCGTAACCTATATATAAAAAATATATAATTTTCTTAAAACCCGTTTAGCGAGAGATCGAGCACTCTATAACAGATATAAACAAGGTGCAGTCTATGTTTTGGGGATTTTTGTTTGTTTTATTTTTAAAATAGATGTTTGAAAAGTTTTAATTCTAATTTATGTCTAGACGAATTCAAAGGTTGTTTTAAGACAGAAAAACCTACAAGAAAATACCGTTTTATCTAAAAACCTTTATAGCTAGAAAATACTTATAATCCAGAAAATAATCCATCAGCACAGATAATAAGATCATAACGATAAGTTTCTGGAACACCAAAATACAACAATGCCTAGCGTAACTATTTGTTTGACGGGGAAGGAACGAAATACTTACCAATAAACGGATAAGTGAATGTGGCCATAGCTGTTTTAACTGCATCCACATCTTCAATATTAGCACAGATCCACCTCGAACCATCACCTTTGTGTATTACCAATGATCTGAAGGCAATGCTGTTTTTTCCAAACAATGGCATATTCCAGTCGTTATAAGTCATCGTAACGTTATCTTTACCGGCTAATGTCCCGAATTTACCACTTACATCACCTATTTCATATTTGTCATTCGTTCCTGTGCCGGATGGCGGACTGCCAGATATATCTATACTATATGGATTGAAATGCCCGCTTACTAATGCGCCACTACACATCCCTGAAACACCAAATTATAAAAATAAATTCAATCAATTATATCCAAGCGGAAAGCCGGTCGATTTGGAAGAGCATTGAGCAAATTGGGTTTACAATACCACTCAGTGCTGCTCGACCATTTGGGGACTCATATGTTTAATTTTCTTCAGCGCATAGACCTCAAGCAGTGTGTGTGGGTGTGTGGTGTTTGTACAAAAATATCTATTTGGAAATTCATTCTCTCGATTTGGGAGTGCATTGAGTAAATTGGGTTTCAATTCCACTCAGTGCTACTAGGCTATTTTAATTTTTAATGCGAGAGAGTTGAGCCGGGTGGGAATGAGTGTTTGGGGGAAAGAAGAAAGCAAAAGTAGCGCTTATTTAAAGGTTTCTCGATTTAGGAGTACATACAGTAAATTGGGTTAAAATTTCACCACTAAACCATTTGGAGACTCGCATATTTAACTGGCTTAAGCTTGGACTCTTTAGCAACTCATATCCAAAATAAACTTATGAGAGAGAGAGAAATGGGGTTTAACGTCCACTCGACACAAACTATGTCATTTCGGGACTAACACATGGTTCAATTTTATTTCAATAATTCGCTTGCGCGTAGGGGTCTTTAGTAGTGGGAGGAAACCGGAGGACCCGGAGAAAACCCACGAAGCTGGACAGGCAAACCTACTCCTTGTCACGTACAACCGGGGAATCGAAACCCCACCAGTTGACTCAATGACAGACCGTATGATACAGCGCAGCGCGCACGTGCTAACCATTCGGCTATCCAATCCCCCAAACTTATAAGGAAATCTGTATTAATTTAAAAGATTCACAATTTGTAAAAACTGAAAATGCTTTCATTTCCCATCGGTTAAAAGTTTGTGTACATTACAAATTTCGCTTCACCTGTTTCGCCCAATTAACTTCATTTGAACAAATCCTGACAAGCATCATGTACCTACTAAATGTTTTTGAGATACATCAAGAGGTATAGGAAAAGACATTAAAAAATTCAAGGCGCCCTTCGTCACCCCTATTCTGTCAAGTAACTTTAAACAAATTTGAATAACCAACACTCTGGCAACATATCTAGGACATGTAATCCAACGATAAATGTGTCCGCTGAAAGTGCAATATTGGCCTGCCCCTTTGGTGTCAGGTAACCTGAACTTACCAAAGAATCACCCAATTAGTGAGCAGAAATTCGCCCATGTATCCGTTATCACCCGTCACTTCAGTCAGTTATATAATGGGATAACTCGTGTTTTCCTTTTGCGTTCGTCACTTCCGATTGTCGAAACATTGATTGCGCATCTATCGTAGCAATGATCCCTGTGATAAAATTATATTTGGAACGTGTTTAACCAGTTCTATCACATATATGATAATGAATGGCACCATATTGTCCTTTAAATCGCATCTGCCTCATTTACAAGGAGTCAAACAACTATATATAATCCAAAGCGAATAAATGCAACGTAAGCAGCTTTATCCAAATCCGCAAAGCACTAATTTTGGGAAGAAGTCACGTTTTCCATTGAAGCTGCTCCTGGACAACTCCTACGGGGACCAGCAACCTTATTTAAATCTAGATAAGCAACATACTGGCAACATACTTTAAAAAACCCATTGAAATCCATCTAGTAGTTTTGGAAAAAGCCGAAAATGACTAGTTGCTGGCCGAGAACGGATTGAAGTGACGAGAAGAGCCCTTTGGGACAACGACCCGATGAACTAACAACAAATTCAAAGTATACTAATATTTATGAAACAAACAACCCCTACCTTGATCTTTGTTAACTCGCTGAGGAACTGGGAATTTATGTACATGGTATCCACTAGCTTTACTTTGTAGATTCATTAACGACACTTCTATTCTGGTGCGGTCAAACATAGAGGACTGTTGGAAGGAAATGTGCCCCTTAACGCCATCTCGGCTGAATGCCGCCACCAGAGATCGAGCAGGAACTGACGTTATAGTGGTACAATAAAAGACATCATTATTATCATCCAACAAAACTAGATGAGAGCCAACAACACTATTTGCTGATAGTAATGGAAGGTTGGCATCCAGGTATCTTTTATTCGCAGAAGCCTTTACACTGCCCACATTAACTGTACCCAATTTTGATGTCAAATCACCAATGATACATTTAGTATGATCGGTGTTGCTACAGCCGGATCCCAAACTTGAATTAGGGTTAAACAACGACCCCCCCTTTAAACAATCTTGCTGTATCCTCCATTTATACCCAGTCTTTGTTTTCGTGCTGTCGCCAAAATATAAATCCGAATAAATTATTGTGTTTCCAGAATCAACTGCTTTCCTAAAGTAGACATTTCCATATACTTTATCCTCGAATGTAGCCACGGCTGTTTCGTATTTAGTAGTTGACATGAGAGTTGCACATGCCTTAAAACTAGGGTCTGTACTGCTTGTTACCTGTAGAGTGGCACCTGGACATCAAAATAAATAAGTACGTTACATTAAAATCATTCGCGTTGATATGAATCTAAACTTTGTTGAAAATTGCATCAAATGATTTACACTATAAACTGTGGTTAACAAGATGTTAATTTCACAATGAACTGTATCTAACATCAATTGAATTGTACTATAAACTGTGTTTAGCATCAAGTGAATTTCACTATAAACTGTAGTTAGCATCAACTAAATTACACTCTGAGCTGTATCTAACATCAAGTGAATTGCACTATAAACTATATTTAGCATCAAATGAATTACGTTATGAACTGTATCTAGCATCAAGTTAATTACACTGTGAACTGTACCTAGCATCAAGTGAATTACACTATGAACTGTACCTAGCATCAAGTTAATTACACTGTGAACTGTACCTATCATAAGGTGAATTACACTATGAACTACGCTAGCATCACGTGAATTACACTTTAAACTGTAAGTAGCATCAAGTGAATTGTGCTATGAACTTCGGTTAGCATCAAGTGAATTGTGCTATGAACTTCAGTTAGCATCAAGTGAATTTCACAGGCAGCCGCATCTAGCACCAAGTGAATTACCCTATGAACTACAAATCAAGTGTTGAATCATCGTCGACACGTTGTTTTAAATAAATCTGGTATCCTTGAACACTTGTCTTGTAAAAATTTCAGACAAAATCAAACAAATACAAAATACCAACACAAATATAACAAAATAAAAACAAAGTAGAAAAAAACTCAAATAAGTTTCGTAATGCATATATTGCTTTGATGAATAATTTCAAGATACATTACCTTCTACGGAATTTAAACCAGATAACGCGACAGGTATTTGTTCTGTCTGAACTACACCAGATCCACCATTAGTACCAGATCCACCTTTACCTGTCCTGTTAATGGAGACAGAAAAATTTTTAAAAAACCCCCCAAAAAACCCCCCAAAAAAACCCAAACACAACAACACATCTATAACACAATCCATGGGGCTAAATCATTTTGTTTGACAAAGGCTTTCACTTCATAAATTGGGCAACCGAAGTATTTTTGACGTAATTTGATTAGAACATGTTTTTTCTCTCTCCTAAGATAAGGGCAATTTTGTGTTTTTATACATTTAAACGACAGACCGATTCCTAATCTAAAACGAAAAACAAATTCCCATTCTATAAAATATGAACATAAGTACAGGACATTTTAAAAATTATTTTTCTTCTTTTCGTTTATATTTGGATTGCCGAACCGTGAATATTTAAAAGCATACGTTGAATTTAAATTGCCGAACCTTGTGTAACCAGGCATCACATTACATCATTTCAAAATTAAAACGACAAAATACATGAAACCACGGACAGTCAATGGATGATAACAATGTTGGTTAAATTGTGTGGATGTTAAAAAATCTCATACCCTTCTCCGGACGATGCACATTTATCTGTGGTGTCATAATTCATAAAGTATTTGTTGAACTGGTAATTGTAAATTCCTTGGTTTAGATTAAATTTAGCTATTGCGTCGCTAGAACTTGGGTCCTTGGTGAGTTCCACCTCTCCCTGAACACCCGCCATATTGAAATAGGCTTTCAGGACTGTCTGGCCACAACATGACTGCAGTGTTAAAGCTGTAATAGAAATAGGATGATAATGCAAATGCTTTTCATACTATTAAAGAGGGCATTAGGTAAGATTAGATGAAGAGATGACAGTTCTCGCTATAATAGTTAAAATATAGATAATGAAAACAGAATATGTTGAAAATTTCAGTCAAATTCTTTCACCCTGAAGCGAGATATTAGCGGTTAAATTTTAGGCTAGCCTCGATCGTCATTACTACCTTTGGTACGGTAATAAACAGAGTCTCGATTATATATTTTTAAGGTTATCTCATCTACCACAAAACTTATTCAAATCCACTAAATATCGCAAGATAACGATGTCATCGAGAGTTGATTATGGTCTTGATCACTTAATTAATGTCTATTTAATAATTTAGATAACATTTCCGGCTTAACGAAAGACTTAATAGGCAGATTTAGCTCTTGCATAATGCATGTTTAAAGAACAAAAAATAAACTGTGATTCAATGTTCCACTTTGCTTTACCAATCGTGGTAATGAATACGGGCATACGCCATGCAATGTGCTATGGGTATAATTTTGCCAGGACATCAATGTTTCCGTGGAGGTATATAATATGCTTCTGCCAATATGTGTATATTACATTTCTGTGATCAACTTCATACCAGTTTTAGAGCAAGAAATTGTCAGTTATTTCTCTGTCTGGGTAGAGAGCGTTCAGCCCATTAAAAAGCTAGAGACAATTTAAAGTCGAGCAAAGAGACAAATCATTGGTGGTCTGTATCCATGCGTATCGTCATCAAGAACATTTGCCCTCTTTTCTATTATTAGAGCCTACTTTTTTTTAACCCCAGTCTTGTTTATTGTATCACTGCTCCCCGTGTGAACTGTGTATTTATCTGTTTTTAGATCCAACTTTACAGAGCTATACAGTCTATTAAAGCACCATAGAATTACCTACATAATAGGTGAGGGGTTATCCTTTATACATAAATTATTGTAAAGAACGACCTCGTCTCTTCTCAATAGCAGCTCCAATATAATTTGATAAAAGCCCGTCTCAAAATGGACTTGCAACCACATATAATCCTTGTTTAAAAAGATATGCGTGATTGAATACAGTTTTGACAAGTAATATATACTTGTAAATACTATAGATATGAATCTAATAGTAGCCAAACTATTATAAAAAGCTGGATCACGCTATAATGATTACACTCCTGGTCACTAGCGTATCGTAGAGCATTGACTTGACTTAAAAGGGTCAAGGATTGTAATTTTAAGCGTAACACTCTATTTTCTAAACCGACGGGGCAAATGAAATGGGGCTTAACGTTTGTTCACCGACTGGGCTCATTAAGACGGACGTACGCCATACAGTGTCCTATGAACATTTGACGGAAAGCAGCACTGTGCCTACTTTTATTTCGAATTCCACCTTTCCAGGGATAATTTACATGCACGCCTCCGGCCAAGGTTATACTGGTTGTGACGAACATCGAGCCCGATGTAAGGCATGCTTCATCTTTAGACCCATGTTCCTGAAAAAACGACCGCGAGTTTTACAACATCTAGATGTTGCTAGACTGGTCTGCGATTCTCGAACTTAAAGCTACGTTTTTTTCACAAATCAAATATCGCGACCTCTACAGAAACCTTGGCATTGAAGGAACCATGAACTTTGCAACTCGATTATCACAGGTAGAAACTTTAGCTGGAAAGCGAGTGACTTGGTATTCGCAAAGATCGAGGAGTCTGATAGGCTCCCCAGCTGGGTCAGTAGCCATTCGAATTTAGTGCCGAAATATGCAGTATATTACGTGAAGGCAGGCCCGGCGGAGTGGGGAGGGGGGCTTTAGCCCCCCCTGCCCCCAATAATTTGGCCGCAAGTACTCTTTTCTCCAGGTTATTGCGGCCCCTGGACCCACGCCTATAAGGAACTTGGATGGAAGCCCCCCAATCAAGAATTGCTTCCGCCGGCCCTACGTGAAGGGCTTGATGAGATGTACGGAGTTAAAGCGAGATCAAGCCTTCTATTGAAGATGCATGCTTTAGACAAAGAGCAGGTATCGAAAGTAAGTTCTAAAGTAAACGTAATATTGAAACGTAAGCTCTAGAATAACGGTTGAACACGGAGAGTTTGATCACAGTACATAATATAATACAAAACAAAAACACGGTGAAAAAATTGAAAATGGCCCTTTATTAATATATCTTCTTAATAACTGACAGGGTACGAAAATATATAAAGATGATTGTAATAAAATTTGGAATACAATAAAAATATTGATCAAAGATGGGGTTAAAAAACTGTCACACTATTGCTGTAACTGTGCTAAAACAATCAAATTAAAATTATAGATAGAGAAATTAATATTGTTATGTTGTTATGTAGTAGTTTTCGTTGTCTTTCAAACTCTGGGCATATTCGAAACGCAACGGCATTGTCAGTATCATATACGTATAAATAAACCATCATTAGTGCAATTTGGTACCCAGTGGAATATCTAGGAAATTGAACGAATAGGTTGTCAATTAAGAAACTTGGCATTCTATCAACATCGTGTGTGAATGTATTTGGTAGCAGGTGGATTCTGGATGAAACATGTACTAATTATTAATTACACGTGTTTCTATTAACGACAATTACCATGTTCTAAACAATTGCCTATAAAAGGCAGAATATGTCACACTAAAAGGGGAATAAAGACCCTGAGAGACAAAATAGCATTACCCGAAAGCAATGTGCTATGGTGGGGACATTTTACCACGAAACTGGCGCTACCCGTTTTCTTTCCAGGCTCACTGTCCTGCATCAGACTGAAAAGTCCCGAGATACCTTCTCGGACAACACCGGGAATGAACCCGGGGACCCCAGATTAGTGAGCGAGTGTTCCCGCGTGGAATTGATATGAGTAGATGAAATGTGACAGCGTATTTGACTTTGGTTCTTGGTTCAACAAACTAGAAGTATTATGGAGAGAGAGAGAGAGAGAGAGAGAGAGAGAGATGGGGTTTAAAATCCACCCGACACAAACCAGGTTATTTCGGGACTAATACATGGTTCAATTTTATTTTCATAATTCGCATGTGCGTAGGGGTCTTTAGCAGTGGGGGGAAACCGGACGACCCGGAGAAAAACCCACGAGGTTGGACAGACGACCGTACTCCTTGCCACGTACAACAAGTGAATCGAAACCACGCCAGTTGACTCAATGACAGACTTTATGATACAGCGCGCACGTGCTAACCATTCAGCCATCCCACCCCGGAAGTATTATGGAGAAAGGGACAGTTTTGACGTTTATCCACTTATGGGGTATCTCACTATTCTTAAACAACCCCCTTGAACAATCTTAGTCAAAATGTCTTCATGTTCTGTCAACACCAGCAGAAGAAATCATTCAAGGGTTGGTCACGTATCTCGTTAACAAGTCTTCGGTCATAAACGTGTTTATAAATAACTAAGGGCGTGTTTACACAACTGGACGATAGCTTTAAAACACGACCGGAATTAGTACAGAGACTTAAAAGTCAATAGTTATGGTGACTCCAGATCAAATGAAGTGACCATTCGGTAAGATGTTAATCTTTACCGGCTTGTCGAGGAATAGCTTTTAGTCTTCTTTACAATTATCTTTTGTTTCCGAAGGAATTCCAGAAATCAATCGTTATACTTCATTTTCCAAAGCGAACTAATGCGAGTCAAAAAAGGTTTTTAAAAATAAAAAAAAAAACACAAAAAAATTACCCCCCCCCCCCCCCAAACCCCCCCAAAAAACAAAAAAACATAGGCGTACGAGCCAGGAGGCGGTGAGGGGGATTTGTCTGCCCCCTAACTATCGGGCAATCTGAATTTTCGGCCAGACGAGTAAAGTGAAAAGAAAAAAAAGTAGTTGGCAAGATAAATGTCCGAAATCTAATAAAACACTAATTTTAATTTTCTTTTAATTGAGTACCAGGAATTTGGACTGAATTGACTATGGTTTAAAACATTTTGTTTGGAGCCACTCTACTTTGTGCGACATTTTTCGGGCATCGCTTTTTATTTGTGAATGCAGCTGCAACAGTCTGATTGGATGGTTGGAATTCAGGTTGGCATACAAAACCATTGGACAACTTTGAAGCTGCTTCAGTCACGGGCTAGAAAAGCAGAAAAACGAATTTGCGGAGGTTAAATTTTCAAAATTTTCTCCGGGAGAGCGAGACTTCCATACACCGCGACGATTGGTTGGTTGTTTGGGATTCCGGTTAACCACCTACGGTAGACTATATTGGACCACATTGAAGTTGCTGTATTTACGGGCTGGAATAGCAGTAGCACCCAGAGGCGTTTGCGGCAGTTAAATTTTCTCCCGTATACGGTCCCGACTCCGTGGACTGTAAACGATTGATTCGTTGATTGAAATTCGAGTCAGCAATATTAGACCACTTTGAAGTTGCTGTATTCATGGGCTGGAATAGCATGAAAACGCGTTGGCGGCCGTCAAATTTTTCCAATTTAGGGATCCCTACACGGTAAGCTCCGGTCCACTCCTTCACCTCGCGCGAAAGACTGACGCCGCCCTCTGTAACCAGACATTTTTTCGGGCATTTCGGGTTCTGCCCCCTCCCCCTTAGCAGTCATCGACCCCGTACGCCTATTCCCAAAACAAAACAAATCCAAACATATAAACAAAACAGCAGCACCCATGAGTGTTGTCATAAAATCTTGATAATCTGTTGTTTTGTTTTCTTAATTAAACAGAGAGAGAGAGAGAGAGAGAGAGAGAGAGAGAGAGAGAGAGAGAGAAATGGAGTTTAACGTCCACTCGATACAAACTAGGTCATTTCGGGACTAACATATGGTTTTTAATTTTATTTCAATAATTCGCTTGCGCGTAGGGGTCTTTAGCAGTGGGAGGAAACCGGAGGACCCGGAGAAAACCCACGAGGTTTGACAGGCGACCCTACTCCTTGTCACGTACAGCCAGTTGACTCAATGACAGACTTTATGATACAGCGTGCACACGCTAACCATTCAGCCATCCAACCCCCCACTTAAT